GATCCCCACCCCTGGAGACAGTGGGGTCCTCTCCCCTGGAGACGGTGGGGTTCTCTTCCCTGGAGACAGTGGGGTCCTCTCCCCTGGTGACAGTGGGGTCCTCCTCCTGGTGACAGTGGGTCTTCTCCCCTGTGATATGATGGGGTATCTTTGCCTATAACTGGCCTTGGCACATTGTTGAATACTGTACCACAGGAGAGGGTTTTATGCAGTTACCTAGTTTTTATCTAGAATTTAATCAAGCGGTGTAATTTCCCCACCAGTCCATATCTTAGAGTGCCCTCTCAGCAGTCGAGCTCTTCCCATGCGTTCTGGACCTAATGTTTTATAGCTTAATCCGTGCAAGGATGTCCAACCTTTTGACATTGTGATATGTCCTTGCCATCTACAAATGTGTTTTACTGCATTCCTAGGTATCCTGAATTTGTGTGCCCAAAGGACTGTACTTTGAACACACCTGTGAGAGAGAAAAATATGTGTGTGTTTTCTGTCAGTATTAAACTAGAATAAATGTGTCCGCACTTAATCATCATTGATGATTTACAGTGAAGGGCACGCTATTTTACTACATCATAGATAGGTTTATCATTTTTATTTACAGAATGAGGAATTTATGTTTGGAGAAACGGTTCTGCCTTTATCGGAGCCTGCAAACATCGTTCATAAATGGTTCCAGCCGGCTGTTGGTTCTTGTTGCGTAATTAGCGTACTTAATCAAGCTCATGTTATCTTCTGCCCTGCAAGTCTTCATTTGCTAATCTTCCCCTCTTTGTCAAATCCAGAGCACAGCATATGTTCCGCCAAGCCATGCGTTCGCGTGTCATTTGGTTCCACGTGGTCCCTGCAGCAAACAAGGAGCAGTATGAACAACTCTCCCAGCGAGAGAGAAACAACTATTCCTCTAGCCGCTTCAGCCCTGACAGCCACTGTGTGGACAACAGGGGCGTGACCAACACTGTGCCTCATGCCTTGCCCAGAGCAGCCAGACTGAATCATCCGCCTGAGCAGCTGGATGCTCACCCCCGACTACCTCAAAGTGTTCATGTCTCCTCTAAACCTCCTGCAGCCCCGGCTTTGGCTCCACAGAATGTGCTTGGTACCAGCGTGGGCAGTGTGTACAACACTAAAAAAGTAGGCAAGAAGCTCAACATCCAGCTTAAGAAAGGTAGGATGCCCTTCGTGTCAGATGGGGTGATGTGGGAGTCCCCTCTGTTTGCTGTGAATACCATTGATTAATACAGAAACTGTCCTGGGCCTGCGCAGAGCAGGATAGAGGTCAGTGGGGAAAACTAAACTGAATGCTGGGAGAAAGGAGGCAGAGTCAGAGAGAAGCTGTGGAGCCACAGCGAGGCACTGAAACTTTGCTGGTAGGCCACGACCTCGTGGTGATGCACAGATGAATGGAGATGGGTTAAATTCAGATGTAAGAGTTAGCCAGTAAGAAGCTAGAGCTAATGGGCCAAGCAGTGATTTAAATAATAAAATTTCTGTGTGATTATTTCGGGGCTGAGCAGCCGGGAGTCAACCAGCAGCCTCTTACTACAATGGAGCATCTTTTGAGATAAGCCAGAGAGGTGTCTTTGGGGGGTGCTCTTTCATTATCTGTGTCTATTAAGTGAGTCAGGACTCTCCTTACCCCTAGCCTGTCAAAATTAAAATGGAGGGCTGTGAATATGGATCTGGTGGGAAAGCTCTTACTACATTTGATGAGGACCTGAGCTCAGATTCCCAGCATAGACACGAAAGCCAGGTGGCTCTCTTCGTGGTCAGCCCCAGTCTAGACAAATTGACAAAAAAGCTCCATTGTTCAGTGTGAGACCTTGTCTCAAAACAGAAGCCAGGGAACAATTGATGAAGGCACTTCTCACTAGCCTCTGGCTTATACACACGGCACACAGGTGCATTCACACTTTCACACACACCTACACACAAATGCAGAAGAAAGCAGATTAAAATGTCCAAGTTCAGAATGCGTCCCCGCACGTGGTTATAAGAATCAGCTGTGATTCCTAGGGTAGGCTTTTTAAAATATATACTATTATACTAAAAGTGGGTCGCCAGTTTTCCTTCAATATCTAGAACAATAATGGAGGTCTGACTGGATTGGCACCCATGCCCTCCACAGGGAATTGGAGGTCTCTGTAGTTTCAGCATGCCACGGGAAGGGGCACCCATGTTTGAGGCCTTCAGTTTTATATTGCCAAGAAGGCCAGTGTTTTCTGTGTGCTCCTCCTTTTCCAGAATATAACTTCGTTTCCTTGGAGGTGACAGACCATGATGATGGGTGCCATTAAGTCTTCTCTACACTTACTGATTTATTTTTGTGTCCCCTTCCCGTCGCTGTCAGTCCCACGCACAATGAGAGCACACTTGCAGTTGGTCCTCTGCACTGTGCAGAGTGATGGCCACGCCTGGCCTTCACATAGCCAGTGGTGTTCTGTCAAGGTCAAGATACACTTGACCTTCCCTGTGTCCCTTTAGCTAACTATTCCAAAATCATGCTTTCAAATTTTGGCTTTACTCAAAAAAAAAAAAAAAATGACTTTTTGAGTTCCGTCAGCTCCAACAGCGGCTGGAGAGCCTTCCAGAATGACTTCCTTGTGTTCAGCAGCTGTGGACAGCGAGTCCTTGCCAGCGTCTGTTACATGGTGGCCTTCATTGTTCTGCTTGCCATTGAGGTAGCGCGTAGACATCTGTGTGCCTGCACCTGCTGTTCTCTTCCACTGAGCTTTGTGGGAGCCACAGCTCCTGATACTGGCTTTTAAGCAGCAATTGCTTGGTTGGCACAAACAGGACCTGACTGTGTGCTCCTACACTTTGCATGCTGTATGGGGAGCCCTCTGTTTCCTGTCTGTTCTCAGCTAAGGGAAGATCCAATTCCCATTCTTCTCTCACCGCTCAAGTGACAGGTTTGGTGTTTTACCAAAAATACGTCAAGCACCACAATTAGCGGTGTATGAGGAATAGCAATCCTGCTCACATTCCCTCTACAAGGCACAATATTTTACTTGACCAGTGTTCTACTAATGTTACTTCATAAACAGCATTATTTATAATATTATGCTTGTGTTTATACTAAGGGAAGAACATTTAATCAATTGTGGTTTTGTATAAATAACAGATGTGATAAATTGTGATGTAATATGCCCTGAAGTGTTGCTTGCTATTAAAAGACCCTCTAGTTTTGAATACAGGAATGAGTAGTTTTGCTTTAGTAAGATTTAGACAGGTAAAATTCTGTTTATTTACCTAATTCAGGAAGTGTAATCTTCATCCCTGAAAGAAAATTAGAAGTGGTGGTTTTCATTGAAATATTTCTCTCACTTTTGGTAATCTAAATGACAGAGTCCCTTGGAAAGGTATTGACTTGAGCTAACTAGCCGCGAGAACACCGGCTAACTAGCCGCGAGAACACCAACACCAGCACCTGCTGCCGCTACATCAGTGCCCACAGATGTTTTACACAAATAGATTGCGTTGACTATACTTAAGAAGGACAAGAATGTTGATTGTCTTTGATTAGGACTGAATACAGATATGGTACTAATGACTGCATGAGAATTAAATATCTCCTTGTAGCGGGAAGATAATATTTTTACCAGTTCTTGTAACATTGGAAATTTTTTTTTAAGCAGTCCATTATAAGCATAGTGCGATCCTGTTAAACATATGTTCAACTCAAAGCAAACTGTTGTGTTCTCTGTGGTATTAATTTACAACCTGGGGACAATGCTTTGTACTAAAATGAGACTCTTCCAGGATAATAACTCACTGAAGTAATTTTGGAACTCTGTCACATGATGCTAGACAACAGAAAAGCCCCCAACTCACTTGCTTCAATAATTATGATTTCTTAATATTTATTACCATTCTGGTATTCTCAAATCCCCTGCTCTTTTGTAGAAATTAGCTTTTTAATAAAGCCAGAGGAGAAGGTCAGTAATCTGTTTCAATCAGAGCAAAATATTTTGTTGGCTTCACCAAATGACAATTGACATCTATTTATCTGTCTCTTAAAGGTCATTGCCTGAACCTTCTGGCTTGTGGATTTAGGGGTTATTGCTGATATTTTAATAGAATCTTGGTTCCATCTTTGTAGTTTATACAAATTAATATTGCAAAGGAGGATAATTTAGAATCCTTTCTTAATAGTTGTTATTGCAAGTCATTAGAGTTTCACGAAGGCACCGAGACATATGGGACAGCCTCAGAAGAATAATTAGTAGCGTTCGTATAGACAGCCTGCCAGTCAAGGCTTCGGCGCAGACAGCAGAGCTAAGGATCAATCTGGAAGCGGCTTCCCATTGGGTATAGATGTGTGTTTTGTTTGAACCTGAGAGTGTGGATGGCAGGTTTGGCTTCAGGAATTACTGAACATACATTTCTTCTCCTTGCTGTTCAACTCATGTTTTCTTATCTACCTGTCTTGATTTTCTCATGCATTCCATTTTTGGTCCATTTTTGTGGGCGCCTCATGTCCTGCTGAGACGCTTGCTCTTCATTGCTCACCTCGAGGATCTCTTCAGCCTTCTCACGGTGACCGTGCACTGAGCACTCAATTAACTGAAATGTTGCACAAGCAGTAAACAAGCTCAAGTAAAAATTGCTCGTTAGGAGCCCTGTCTGCTTCTGCGAGTCCGTAGAAGTGCGTCAGGCCGCGCACGCTGCAGCTTGGTGTGTTTCTGTCCATTACTTTTGGGTTCTAGGGGGGTGAGACTCCTTTCCACACCACACTGGCCTAAGAAGATGACTTGCTAAGAAGTCTACCAAAGATGATGTTATATAAATCAAGAAAGTGACCTACTGGGCTAGAGAGATGGCTCAGCAGTTAAGAGCGCTGCCTGCTCTTCCAGAGGTCCTGAGTTTAATTCCCAGCAACCACATGGGGCTCAAAACCATCTGTAGTGGGATCTAATGCCTTTTTCTGGTATAAGGTCATACATGCAGATAGAACACTCCTACACATAAAATAAATAAGTAAATATGTCTTTGAAAAAATAAGAAAGTGACATAGTGATATCCCATTAATCACGGTACCTTTAAACTGGTAGGGTGACCCTAGGGTTCAGTAGCCCTGATTTCCAGCTGGACTATTCCCTGTGTGACTTGCCCTGTGGTGGGGATGGGACCACACGTGGGAGGATTTCAGTTACTCGGAAGGGAGCTTGACAAGGGTAAGCAGTGTAGTTCATGTGTACAAGATGGTTGTTCTATATATGAGTATGAAGAAGATTGGTTACTTAAAATATCATTAGTTCTACTGTCCCTTTCCTGAACATTTTCATCTCCTTTTTTCTTGCCTTGTGCTCTAAATTGGGGACCATTATTACTGATACTTGATTTTTGATGTTTCATGGAGTTTTCTACAATTTATTTTGCATGTGTAGATGTTTTGCCTACATGTATGTCTGCTCCCCACATGCATGCTATACCTGGAGAGGCCAGAAGAGAGTGTTGGATTCTCTGGCACTAGAGTAGTTATGAGCATTATGTTGGTGTTGGGAATCAAACCCAACTCTTTGTCTAATATTCTTAACCACCGAGCAATCTCTACATACCACAAAGGATGTATAGCTTCTAACAGAAGTGTTTGTTTATGATTTCTTCAAGTAGAGCTGTCAGGTTCATTTGGTACCCAAAGACCTAAAGTTGACATATGACGTCATTACCTTGCATCCATCCTTGATAAGACCACCAAAAGAGATTAATGACTTCTAGAGTTGAACCATTTGAATCTTCCAAACTTAGTCTAGTTTGAATCCTTCGTTGAAACTTTTAAAGCATTAAAAGAAGTGTAGGCCACTGGACATTATAAGACATGAGGCTAACCCAGAATATAAGCCAGTCATTGTGTGTGGCCCACATGTACAGGTCTAGTGTGCAGCAGCATCTGCAAATGTCTCTATTTCTTGCTTAGGTACCGAAGGACTGGGGTTCAGCATCACTTCCCGAGACGTTTCTATAGGCGGCTCAGTTCCCATTTATGTCAAGAACATCCTTCCTCGAGGGGCCGCCATTCAAGATGGCAGACTCAAAGCAGGAGACCGGCTCATAGAGGTGAGTGGCTTTCAGGCCAGAGCTTCTGGCTTCCCTGAAAAATTCCTTTCTTCGGGAGTTAGTTTGAAAATATTTTCATAAAATATGAAATTATGCGTTTTACCTGAAATGTTGCATCAGAAAACTATTTGTTTTACTTTATATTCCCCCATGTTATCTGATGAAAATTTACCTTTCTGTCTAGATTACTTATAAATATTTAGCTATACAGATACTTGGTTTATGAGGTGAGGGCATGTTTTGACACCGGGCACGTGCAGACCTCTGTGACTGCAAATTTAGATAACTTCATACTTAACGTGTGGTAGTGTAGGCAAACTTGCTTTTTAGAGATCAGAACCAAGGCAGAGAAAGTCAATGTGAATGTGTCTTGAAAGAAAGGCAAAGGTTAGTGTGACCGCCTGGACCGTGAAACCAAGACACAACATCCAGTGTGAACACAAAGGAAAACAGGCGTCAGAAATTTCCTTTTGAGGCTTAGGGTTTGACTTCCCTGGTGTGTGAGGGAATTGTGGAAACAGACACATGGACATGGTCCCTGACGTGAGCAGCTGAGAGCCTATAAAAAGTGAGGGGCCAGCACAGAGCGTAAGACCTAATTTTCAGTTTTCTTCTGGGATAAAAAAAACTGAACCTGTATTTTAATTTTTACTAGTTTATTTTTTCATTGACATTAAAGTCGAAGCCCAAGTCCATAGGCATCCTCGGCAATTGTTTTTCCGCTGAGCTGTGCCTCAGCACTGAGCCATAAACTCACAACTGAGCTGTAAGCAAGTGCCCTCACTGGGGAATTCTAGGCACGAGTTTCCCGCTGATCCAGGATCTCGTCCCTGAACCATGTTCATTGATGTGCCATGCCCCTTATCGCTGAACTGTGTATGCCCTCCAAGCCACACCCCTACTACTGTGACATTATTTTATCCCTCATCACCCCTTCTTAGCAGAAATCATGTTTCATTAACAATTCTTGAAATATGGATAAAATGAACTTTTATCACCATGCCCTCTCCCATGCAGCTTTGACCCCTCTGGGCTGCACTTTCTGAAAGGGTTCTTGAGAAGTACCAGAGCTAAGAAAACACTTCCTTTTTTTCATGACTTTGCCATTCCGTTTTGTCCTCCCCATAAGGCGACATGTTTCAGAGGACACCGAATTAGTTTGGTAACCAGAAGGATGCATCCCCAGTTTGTATAAAGGGAACTCTTTCTAGAAAGCTGTACTCTTTCTTGGATAGAAACTGAGCAGCTGTAGGCAAGCCGGTCGTTATGACTGCTTTTATTTTTGAAGTCTCAGCTGGCTTCTAAGTTCAAAAAGAGGAATGTTTGTCCTTCCATTTCCTTTTTTTTTCCTCCTTTCCTGGCTGTGCTTCGGTCTCTGCCCTGTTCCCTCTCGTCTCTCTGTGACTTGGCGTGAAGCCAGGGCCTTATAGCAAGGCTCACCTCCCTTTGCTTGTATGCCTGCTCTTCTTCCTTCCCTCCTTCCTGAGAATAGGCTCTGTCTTTGTCCCTCTTTAGACAGATAATGGCTTGACTTGTAGTGACTTACGAGCACCTTCATTTTCTCTCTGAGAGGTGGGGACACAGTACAGACTACCTTGCTCCTGAGTCCTGTACAGTGCTTGTAGCTGCCCGGTGGGTCTCAATTCTGAAGCTTGTTCTGTGTATTTCAAACTTAATGCTGCAGTGTCCATAGAGTTCATAGACTGTGCACAAGTCAGTCCACAAGCCTCCTTCGCATCTGGACCATAAGAAGAACAAATAGAAAAGAGTACCACATTAGTAGCTCCCGCCCCTTTCTGTCTGCAAGCTTTTCATTGGTTGGAACTGTTGCCAATTGGCTGACATCTCTGCGTTAGAGCACGTGAAGTTCTCTGTAGGTGTTTCACCAGAAAGCCTAGGTTCTAAAACAGAGCTACAGGGAAGTTTTGATATTAAAATTTAAGTGTTATATTTAATATTTGACCCATAGAGAGAGAACAATATATAATTGTTTTTTTAAAAAAATGAAATCTGTTAACGTTGGTGTGGTGATGCATGCTTGCAACCCTGGCACTTGGGAGCCCCAGGCAGGAGAATTGTGAGTTGAGGCTGCCCCAGCTATGTGGTAACTTCAGCCTTGCTACATGCATAGCCAAACCATGCCCTTAAGAAATAAGTCAATAAGTGATAAAATTAAAAGCATCTTTCCTTGAAACCTTGAAACTAACATTTATATAGTTCCCACGAATGAAAAATAATAAGATCACTTAAAAATGTATCCTTCCCAAATTCTGCCTGGCTGAATTCTCTTATCCATAGAGAAAAACTAAGATGAAGCATTAGTTCCCCTCCCAAACTGTTACGATTTTCTTAGTGAGTCAGTTTGATGTTATTGTTTACCTTTTAAGGATAAAATGTCTATTCTTCTTCATTTTCACTGAAGCTTAAAGCGTTTATACTAAAATATTGCTGCTGTATTCTTCTTCCAAGAACAACGCCTCTCTATTCGGCTGTTGTAAGACCTATTATGCACCAGGGCTCAGTTCTCACTGCAGCTTGGTGTTAACTTGACCTTATGGTTTCTGTCTGTTTACATGCTGCCTGTTAATGCTGGTGGTTGCAGCTTCTTGTTTATGGATGAACACTAAAGGGTTTACTACTTATTACTTCCTCACTGGCTTCTGGCTATCTGGTTGACTCCTTTTATGAACCACCAAATCTCTGGTTACCTGGCCATGACCGAATTTTGCGTGGAAAAAGTCTCATTTAGGAATAGATGCCCTCAGTTCTGGGTCTCTGGTTTTTTTTTTTTTTTTCTTTTTTCTTTTTTTCCACTGCCTGTCTGGACATGGTTGTGGCTAAATATTTCCTCTTTGTTTTAGGTCAACGGAGTAGATTTAGCGGGGAAGTCCCAGGAGGAAGTTGTTTCCCTGTTGAGAAGCACCAAGATGGAAGGGACCGTGAGCCTTCTGATCTTTCGCCAGGAAGACGCTTTCCACCCAAGGGAACTGGTGTGTAACCCTAGTGCAGGTGGAAGACTTCTCATGCGCATGAACCAGTGATGTAGGCCACCTACTCATGGGCGAGTGTTTATGGAGCCTTGTCCTGAGGAGGGTCTATAGTTTTTATAGACTCTCAGTGTAGATGTTCTTAACTATGCCAGTCTTAGTGATAGATGCCTCAAGTGTGAGCAGATAGATGCGTGTTTAATAAGCAGCTATTGTAAGGAGGGTTTCAAGACTCCTGGGTTTATCACTGGACACTCCCAGCTCACCGATTGGACCCCAAGATGTCCATTATTTCATAACTGTCACCTTGCGGGCTATCATTGAAATACTGCTATCTCTTCCTCTCGTGTGACAAATTCTCAGCTTTCAGATTTTTGTAGTAAATACAGCTGAGCAAAGTTAATGGCGCTTCCTATTTGGTGACTAGGAACACTAGCAAAACTATTGTTATGAAAATAAAAAAAGACATAAGAGGAAAGACACCACAATCACAAGCATAAGTGTTTTGTTTTTTGTTTTTTGTTTTTTTTTTCTGTGTGTGGTGGAAACATAACCAATAACATTGTTTATAGCTCACCTTTGCCCTCTATACTGACGTCCATTAGGCAGGGATAGTGAAATGGTATTGGTTGGAGTAAGATGTAGAAAATAAATGTACTTCTGAATACTCCTTTGAAAACGAATGTTATTTTATTATTTATATGCAAATTATATATATTTATATATAAAAGTAACTCATTTAGCAGCATGATCTTTATCTTTTTGTGTGTTTAGGAGGTTGTTTTGGCTCAAAAAGTTAGCATCTGAAATATTCCAAAGCAGATTTGACCTGAGCCATCTCAGAATGTTTGACATCTCCTTCAGCTAGCTGCTAGCTTTGTGTAGCCATGACAAGTGATGAGGTTCAGGACTATAGTTCATAAATCTGTCATATAGATCTGATTTTCTTAAGTTATGCAAGGGCAATACATCATAGTTGATGCATTCTCTATAAAATCATTTATCTAAATACCTATTAAAACAAAGCTGGATTTCAGTCATGGATATCCAATCCCTTGGGTTACACACAGACCTGGAAGTCTTCCATAGTTTTATGGGGAGTTTTAAGACTGTGATGGGGTGAGAAGTGAACACTTGGGTTTTAGATTTATTTTGAATAAATTATGAAAACTTCGTCATAGTTAACAAATGTTTAATGCATTATTTCTCAATTTAAATTCAGTTTTTTCATTTCCTCCACTCTTACTCCAATTTCGTGTTTAAGATGCCACCTGATCCTAAATCTGGGATGTCTCTATTCGATTGCAAATGAGCCCTCACCAAAGCACCAGCCTCTCCTGGGCAGGCAGGAAGCTCCCTCTCTGCCTGGCACTCTCAGGCTGCCTGTTGGCTTTCCCGAGGTGCCAAGCTACAGTACAGCTCCTCAGCCATCTCCCAGGGGAGCCAGCGCCAGCCTGAGGTTATGCAGGTTCTTCTGGGCCAATTCAGATCTCCCAGGCTTCTGTTCCTCCCGTCTGCTGCTCTTGTTCCCCTCCCCCTTGGTTGTGTAATTTATTGCTTGTGAGCTTTTCATTAAGGACAGGGCCAGTAGGCTGTCAGTCTGTTATGCCTGCTGCAGCTGCTTTTTGAGACATAAAATAATAACGTTCTGAAAAGTCAAAGGGAGTGTTTAAAAATAATTCCTAGCTCTGATGAATGCAGCTCTCTCTGGTTGGGGTGTCTTTGTTTCAGTTCTGTGGATCTTAATCTAAATACTTCTAAATTGGTGTTTGTCTTTCGTTAAAAATTAAATAAACTAAATACCGGCCTTTCATGCTCTATATTATATGGGAAGAATTCCATTTGCTCCCAGCGGAACACACTCAAGTATCAAGTTGTGTTTCCCACTGCAGGATTGACGACTTTTGTTCCTAGAGCTGTCTATTAGCCCTGTACTTTAAAACTGAGGTTTGGTGATGGAGACTGGCTTACACGTTTAGAGATAGCATGCTTAGAAACACAGTTTAAACACGGCATGTTTAGAAACACAGTTTGTGAGGTTTCTTTCCTTGTACATGAGCTCCTGAGGTACTGTGAATGAGCCGGTGGAGACATGTATCTAGAAGAACTAACTGCTGAAATCTCTTAAGTCCTGACTCAGTCTGGAGGATAATCATACATCAGCCATCCTACAGTGACCCTTCATGTACAGTTATGGATATTATTATTATTGTTGTTTTTCTTTTTTGAAACAGGCTTTCTCTGGGTAGCCCTGGTTGTCCTAGAACTCACTCTGTAGATTAGGCTGATGTCAGAGATCCACCTGCCTCTGCCTCCGGATTGCTGGGATTAAAGGTGTGCACCACCACTGCCTGGCTTAATTTATGGCTTTTAAAACAACCTAATCTTCTTTAATAAGATATTGTGTCCCTTGGACCTTGATGATGAAAATCTTTTGATGAAAATCTTCACGATGTTTTTCTTTAATTCTTCTAGAACACTGAATCAAGCCAGATGCAGATTCCAAAAGAAACGGTAAGAAGCTTGTCTTAAGAGATGTTTCTAAGATAAAGAGCCACTTGCTAATCCAGTATGATAATCTTTGTTCCTTCTCTTTGCCAAATAACTTTTATTTACTTCCATATTTGGGGAGGGGACTGGAACAGAGTCTTGTCAAACAAGCGTAAAATGGGAGAAGTTTGAATTTTTTGCTGTTCCTCTGTATGATGCAGTGAGGTTGAGGGAGTATAATATATGGTCGGGAGAGAGCAGGTGACAGGATGAGATATTCGTCATAAAGGGAGGGAGCCAGTCAGGTGTTCTCGGCTCAGGTTCAAACACAGACACAGGTCAGCCGCGTCTGTTTTAGAAGACTGACCCTAATCCACTCTGGGAATTAAGGGGAGGTTACCGTCTGGCTTGCACCACATAGCACACTGTCTGTCGTAGGGGTTGTGTTGGTCTCTGTGTGGATGTGCGACCTGGTGGAAGAGAGGGGATTCCATAGTGGCAGTTGACAGTCAGTTCAAAGCCAGGAAATTTGCATAGCACGTGACGACACAGAATAAAAGCATTCCCAGTCTCAGGTCATCCCAGCACCTGACTGGCAGGGGTTGGTTGTAGTCTGTGAAGTTGAGGCCATCTTAATCTACATAGTAAGATCTAGGATAGCCAGGGCTATGTAGAGACCCTCTCTCCAAAAAATAAATAAATAGAAATAACAATACAGTATTAACAATGGGTACTGTTACTATTTGATTCCAATATTTGTAACCAAATAGGAAACCAAAATCACCTGAACAAGGAATATAATTAACAGTTGATTTTTTTAAAATAAATACAGGTACATAAACAAACAACTTCAATAAATAGAATGCTACTCTCAAATATTTCATTGTTTTAAAAGCTGGATGGCAAATAAGACCTTAGAGCAGAATCTGGAAGCAGCATCAAGACTATGACACACCCAGGAGCACAGGTTAGCAAGAGCCACGACCTTGAGTTCCTGACGGTGGTAGAGTAACTCAGCCATGACAGCCAGTGAGAACGTGCAGTGGTGGTCCATACTGAGGTTGTTGGTGGGAGGGGACAGATGAGGAGATCCTTCTATTTGAAAGGACAGTCACTGTGGCAAAGATAGTGGGACACTGTATAACTTGGACCAGCAGGGATTGCCAAAGCACAGGCAAGCAGGCCACCTAACACTGAGGAACAGTTTTGGAAACATACATTTTGCACATGTGTATGAACATATGTATGTTTGTGTCTGAAGATGGCCTTCCAAATTGGTAATGAACTGTATTTTGTGTAGCATTTAGAACAACTACCTGTTATTTACTTAGTGCTGGGCTTGACCCCATGCAATGCTGAGCAGCCTGTCACAGAGCTGAACCCACAGCCAGTCATTCCCCCGTTAAAAGGCTGACCCTCTTTTACCCTCTCTCTCAGTAAGTTCTAGTTGGTCATCAATTTAAACCTCAAAAGTCCTCAAAAATCTTGACCAAAGAAAGTGTGAAGCATTTGATTTACTTTGAATTAAAGAAAAAAATGCCTATGATATAAAAGTCTGACACATGGGCAGCCCCCCAACTTCCAGAGTGTAAAAATACCAGTGTTTAACTTCAAGAATATGAAGTATACATCTAACATCCACCCTCTTGTCTCAGTTTCCACGAGAAATCAATAAATGACTAGAGATCTTGAATCCCTTATTAGATAATCATCTTTGTAGTAGATAGTTTACCCAATTGTCAGCTAATAAAAGTGTCCTGAAGGGTTAGTTGTGCCATTGGATACATTGGGTATGCTAAATGCAGTGTAGGTTTGCAATATTTCAGCTTAGAGTGGGTTCATCTAGATGCAATTCCACAGCGAGTCAAGGGACATTTATGTTCTCATACATCTTGATGTGTACATATTTATTTTCATCTTCCTTATTATTAGTATCATCCGTAGCTATAGCCAGATCCTGAAGCATTTGCAATATAAATACCGAGTGAAGGATTTGCAGCGTGGCTGTGGGATGAATGACATTTCTCTGTGACTTTGGATCTTACTGACTTCTGTGGTTTCTTCAAAGCGTAAAGTGATTAGAATCCTTCGTCTGCCCACACGGATTTTTATCCAGTCTCTGCAGAATATAAAGGTGTTGGAAAGGCAAATAGAGCAGACTCACTAAGGAACTGAGTTGACATTCCTCTACTGCAAAAATGATTGCTTAATATTTTCGACATATTTTCCTTGAAATATTTTCATTCCTTGTTATCGGTCATCCTCTTTGCGGTGCAGTGATATACTCAGTCCCTTTGTAATGTGTACGTTTTTAACTTTAACGTCATTTTCTGCTGAACTCTGTAAGCTTTAATGTAGACTTAGAATGTTGCAATGCTGGTCTGAATAGATCAATCACTTTATGTAATTTTTTTCTTTGCTGTCAGAATTCCAGGAAGTTCTCTGCACCTACCTCCTCCATTGTTAGCATTTTGCTGCATTCGAGATAGTTTTCACCCCTTCCCTCCACACAATCTTCACACTATTCTCTCTGCAACATTTTTCTGAACTAGCAGACAATTATTTATCTGCTTTACTCCTGAATGTCTCAACGCAAGGACATTTTCTTAAGCAATAAGAAACTCTCGTGATCAAAACCAATAAACTCCATTGGTTTCGTAACTACCCATAGTTGTTATAAAATAAATGAGCAATAAGTAAGACAGGACCTCTAGGCTACAGTCCGAGTCAGGTCATGGTATGGCATGGCATTCAGTCGTCATGCATCTGTGATCTTATTTTGCATTATTTCCTCATTGTATCTTGGTTTTACCTTTTTGAAAAACTACTCTGAGAACATTTTTTTTTAAAGGACACATCATTTTGAGATTATGTCATAACTTGGGTTTTTCTGATTTTTCTTTTTATATTTTTCTGGGAAGATACTAGAGGTTAATAACCATTATTATTACCAAACAAAAAATTAAAGTATTTAAAATTATTTGCTATTCATTGGATAAGGAAAGAACCCAGTAAGTTCATATATAAGCTTGTAACTTAGTAATCAGACCTGGTGGTCCTAGCACTGGGAAGGCTGAGGTAGCAGGATCTTCGTGTTAAGTCCTGCTTTGGATGGTGTAGGGTAAAGCCAGTCTAGGAAGCTTAAATGACCACGTCAAACAAAACAAAAGAAAAATATCAAAGGGTGGAGACACTGAGGGCATAGCTCAGTGGTAGATCTAAGTTAGTGCAATGCCCTGGGTTCAGTCCCCAATTACTGCAAAAATAAATAATAAATAACAATCTAAATAATGGTTCTCAGAAAGATGGTTCAAATAACATACATCAATGTTCATCTTTCCTCTCATAAATAAAGATACGAAGCTGACACACGCCTGTAATTTTATCACTCAGTAGGTGGAGGAACGGGTACCAAGATCTTGAGGTCATTTTCGTGTATAAATAGAGTTCACAGCAATTCTTGACTATGTGATCTTATCTCAGAAGAATAATCAAAATACAGATTTTAAACTTGACTTATTAGTTTATCCAAAAAAATTAAAGACAAAGATAAATTCATTTTTAAAAAGTCTTCCTTTTAATTAAAAAGACAAAATTCTGCCCATTTCTCGACAGATTATGTACAGTGTGTTCTCTTGCTCACTCCTGTGAGCGTTTCTCTTCCACAAGAGATGTGTGCTGATGGCTGCTCTTCCTCGTGGGCCTCATGAACTTCTCGCCCCGTTCTCAGCCGCATCCTCTCCGTGACCCCAGTCCCATCCCCTGCCCACCAGCCTCCTCTGTCCTTCCCCTCCCCTGTGTTTTCCGTCATTTTGTGTGTCTGTCTATCACTCCATCTTGTGGCTTCAATTGAGGGAAGAAAATTAAGTGATTCATTAGATTTCTTGATTACAAAAACCATAGCGTTGACAATAGAAAATCCAGCCAGGCAGAAGGAAATGATAATCACCTACAGCTCCATGGCCTTACTGTCATGATAGGGATGTATTTGCTCATAATCTCCATTTCCCATATAGCTAACCAGTGTCCTGTCCCATGTGCCTGTGCTGTAGACAGTGGTCCTTCACCCAAGACTGGCATCAAGCCCCCCTCTATGATTCTTCTGGCTGATACGTAACAGAAATTAAGCAATTTACAAAAGACACTGTCAAGGCCTTGATGGACAAAGTACTGCAAGTTAGGAAAGACTTAATTTCCACAAACCTGAATTTCCCGTCATAAAAATATTTTTATATCTCTAAATGCTTTTTCTAAGACACTTTAAGTAATAATCTACTTATTAGTTTCATGTCAGTCTGTCTGGAGCAATTGTGATAAAGGCGGTCAGCGTCCCTGCAGATCTCTGCGCATGGCCACACTCAGTTTTAACATAATACACAATGAAGTTAGAGGCCGTGCAATTGTCTGCTGAATGCTGTCTGTATATGCATTCATCGTTATTCCAGAACATACCCGCCTCCCTCCCTCCCCTCTCCATCCTTTTCTCCCTCCTTCTCTCCTCCTGTTATCTTCTGTTTTGAAGACAGCCTCTTTAATAGCTCATGTTGACCCTGACCTCAGGGACCTTCTGCCTCAGCCTTCTGGGTTCTAAGGTTCTGGGTGTGCCCCAATATGCCCAGCCCTAACACGTCCAGATTAGCACATTGCCAAATTTCTTCATTGTTCTGAAGAATGCCTTTAACACTCGGTAATTCCCAATCAGATTCTTCTCCTCCTCCTCCTATTCCTCCTCTTCCTTCTCCTCCTCTTCCTCCTCTTCCTCCTCTTCCTCCTCCTCTTCCTCCTCCTCCATATTGAAGTTTGGAGACCAGGGTTTACCTATTGCTCTGTTCTTTCTTAGTGAACAACTAGCTCACCTCTCTTTTGAATTTGTTGTGGAGGTATGTGTCCTTCATTAGTATTCTACCAGGGACATGCAGACTATAGACAGGTAGGACTTGTATGTGAGAACTTTGTCCCTGGAGTGTGGCATGAGCAGTTGCCGAGTGCTTCTCCAATCTCATGGTGCTCTGTGTTTATACTTTCCCTTTGTTTTCTTCACAAGATTTTACTCATTTTTCTCTACCAAGACCCCGAGATTTGCCGTCTCCCTTTCTTCAGGAAAGGAAGATAGCTTAGGGCTCAGTGTGGATTCACGGTCCCTCATAGCAGTTGCAGAACTGCTGGGACTGTCGTTGACAGAAGAAAAATCACTAAGACGTGAGGAAGGCACTTGACTGTTTTTCTCCCTCACTGGTCATGGGAAGATACCCTTTTGTTTCTCTGAGAGTACCGGGAAACTAGATAGCTTTCATGGGACCCATTAGGTAGGGTTGTTTCTAATATGCTGGCAAAATGCCCTTTGTTCTCTGGGCGTTAAAAGGCACAATTGACAGTGAAGAAGTTGGCAGGGAAAAACTTGAGTCAAGCTTGATGGGTAATTTGTTCATGCTCTACAGACCGACAGATAGACAGACAGACACACAGCAGAGATACCCAATGTAGTTTGATGGGAAAGTCGTTCCTGTCCTACAGACAGACAGGCAGACAGACAGACAGACAGACAGACACACACACACACATCAGTGATACCCATTGTTCAATGTGCTTGAGGGATTGAGCAACATGAATGTCGTGAACATGTTGGAGACCGTGTTAGCATTTGTTTCTGAGGCAGGAACTCGAATCCATTGGTTGAACAGGCACAACTTCAGTGACATAGCAAGAAGGTGGAAATACCTTCTAATCAGCCTGAACACAGAGATGCCTGCACAAAGCTCATCCTTGTGGAGATTTTTTTATAATGTCACTTCTCAAATGGTCTTTGAAGAGCAAACTTTTAAAACTCACTGCCAAAAACTGATTTCTAAAAGCTGGTGTTAATTTCAGTCTTGTTCAGGAGCCAAGTGGGTTAATGATGAAATGCTAATGAAGCCCACCGTGTCTCCCTTCAATGTTCTTAATGATAATAAAGTCTCAGGATTCCATAGGACCTTAAGAGACAGCCTCACCCCCACGCTGCCACCCCTAGCAGCTTTCATAGTCAGTGGGGAAGCGAGCCCACCTTGATTAGCCCTTTTCTTCATGAATTCGCTCAGCTTCTTGTCTTGATTTTTCAAGTAGGAAAGAAATGAGAGTTTTCAGCCTTTGTAAAAACATTATGGAAATGTTGAAATCAGTAAACAGGGAAACGCCAGACTGAAGGTCTACATCAGTCAGTGACAATTTAGATCCTTTGGATTTGAGGGGAGGAACGGTAAGGGTGGGTCCTTGTGCTCACCAGATACAGCTGTGATTCCTTTGTCTTCACAGAAACCTAAGAAGTTACGGCTTCCATGGCCTCTCAAATGTAGTGTTCTGGGTAATAGAAAAACAGATCGACAAAATCCATTATATCTCTTAATTGTTTTTGAATTCCTGATACAAAGGGACAATAGTGTGGCTTGGAGTTATTGATGAATTTTTTTCTATTAAATGTTGAGATCTACCCACGTGGTATGTTCCTTTAAGGATTACTGCTTTGGTTGTCTGTAGTGCTGGGATGAACCTGGGCCCTGGCACCTGCTTGCTAGCCTAATGCTCGTGAGTTGAGCTGCTTTGAGCCTCCAGACGGTACAATTTGATACTTAGATTAAGTCGTTAATAGTCATCCACAGAATAATTACTTAGCGCTTTAATTGTTTTGGTACAAATAAAGCAATGAAAAATGAAATGAACATTTGTATTTATAGAGCATCACACGATTATAAGGATATTTCTGTATAATAAATGTGTGAAATATCCAATATTTTGATGCAGTTATTTGATCTTGGTTTGTCTCCAGTTTGTTGGTTTTGTTGTATTGAGTTTTAGTTATTCTCTGGGACTATTATAAAGTGTTTACAATGAGCTGAGAAGTTCAATTTAATGGTGAATATTTACTTTATATAGGCCATGTCTTTTAAACATTTATTTTTCATTTTTTGCAGCATATTTTCCATGTTCTATGCATTGTCATCACTGACAGATGCACTTGTGTGTGTCTGCGTGTACACATACACAAACATACACACACATTAACGTCGAATGTTAGCAAATTAGAAACATTGCTTTACAGGTAGCATTATTTTGGATTTAAAGTTCTTAATAGAGCACATTGTTTGTATTATTCTTTTTAAAATTATAGGTAAGTACTGTTCTTCTAAAACATTAATTTAAGAAATCAAAGATATGTTTTTGAAAGTCACAAATTCTCTTTTAAATTATTCTATCATTTAATTTGCATTCTTATAATTTTTCAAAGATTGGTCAGGGTGCAAAGAAAAATAAGGAAATCCATCGTGTTTCCATCCTCTATAATAGCTAAGGTTTATGAATAATCAAGAATTGCTGTCTATGTAGTACAGGTCATCATGCTGTCCGTCGCTGTAACTGATGGTTTCAAATGGCTAAGTGCTGTTGGAGGAGTGCTTCAAAGTTGAGGAAGGAGAAGGTCTACGTTGCAGGCCTCACTGGGGTTCACTCCAAAATTGATGCTTGAGAAAAATTCTGGTTTATCTTGACTTCTATTTTTTTTATTTTGTTTCTCTCCTGTTTTATAATCCGTGACAGAACAAAGACTTTACATACTAGCCCCAGACTTTAGGGGTCTACATATCCCTTCTGTATTACTCCTGCGTTTCCTAGAATTAATTGCAACATTGATATAAGTAGAACCCGAAGCTGCTCACAGTAAGGGTCAGGTGTGATCTTGAAGCACAGCTCTACCACTGTCGTGGATCCTGTCCTGGGGTAGCAATAATTTGCTGGTGTGGGCCAGAGGTCCGTGGTGTGGTGTCTGAACGAGGCATTCCTAGTTTAATACTTTGTGTGATTCTTTCCCCTTTTAGAAACCGGAGGATGAGGAGGTTGTTCTCACTCCTGATGGGACCAGGGAGTTTCTGACCTTTGAAGTCCCGCTTAATGACTCGGGATCTGCAGGGCTTGGAGTCAGCGTCAAAGGGAACCGTTCCAAAGAGAACCACGCAGATCTGGGAATCTTCGTGAAGTCCATTATTAATGGCGGAGCTGCATCCAAAGTAAGCGCTACTCAGCCCGATTCAGTCCGCGCCTGCTGGCAGGGTGTCTCACCGCAGCCTTTCTGATTTCCACATGTGTTCTGTTAGTGATGGTTTCTTTCCATATAGACCTTCTGCCTGGGCCAGACACCAAGGAAAGGAACATAGTGATAAATTGTTTGGGGGATAGAGCCCATCATTCCAACTCCTCATCCTAATCTCACATGACCCACAATTCGTAGTCTTCTTTGTTCAGTAAGATTTGTGCAGAGGCTAAGCATGGGTCCTTGATTGGGGAGAATGCTCTTTTTTTGTTCCCCCTGCTGCTACGTCATTGGCTCCTTCTAACCTATGGTAACCCACTTTTCTACCGTTGCCCTGATCTTCATGGATCTTCCATGTAAATCAACTTGATGGGTGTTTCTGAAAGCACACGCGTGGTGATCACTCTGTGTTCTAAGAATTAGCATTCCACTTTCATTAACAGATTAAAATAACGACTCAGGGATGCCTTAAAGACTAAAATAGACAGAGTTTACAACAGCTGCTTGCATTGTATTTAAAGCCCCCAGATCCTTTTTTCTTTCCTTTTTTTAAATTTTTGTTTTAATGATGTAAACTTAGGGAAAAGCGATCTCTTTTGCAAACTCTTCAGCAATCCTCACTTGGCTTGCTTTCCTCCCAGGATGGAAGGCTGAGAGTGAATGACCAGCTGATAGCCGTAAATGGAGAGTCGCTGCTGGGCAAAGCCAACCAGGAAGCCATGGAGACCCTGCGGAGGTCCATGTCCACCGAGGGCAACAAGCGCGGCATGATCCAGCTCATCGTGGCCAGGCGGATCAGCAAATGCAATGAGGTGAACCGGGGTGTCGCCTAGAAAAGCCGTCCCATGGCATTGTGTGGGCATGTTCATAGATGATTATTTTTTTTCAAACATTGTCTCCTGTTACCCAGCATAGTCTGAACATTCTGTGGAAGACGACTTTAAACTTCTAATCTTCCTGCCTCCACTTCTCCTGGGCTGGGGTTACAAGTCTGCAGCACCATGTTTGCTCATGCGATGCAGGGGACCAAACCCAGGGCTTTACACATGCTTGTCAAGTGCTCTGGGCTCTGAGCTCCCGCTCCAGACTCACTTGTTTCATTGTTTATGTGGTCAGAGTTTTTCCAAACTTAAATGAATATTCCTGTACAACTCACAAGATAATGTCTCAGAGCTCCCCGTAGCTAGCTGAATGTGATGTGGGAAACAGGACCCACAGTAGCCTTGCTGGGTCTCTCCGTGGACTGAGAGACATGAGAGACCCAGCAAGAAAGAGCTGTGGTGGCGTGCCTCTGTCTAATTCCATAATGGAGAGGACCTGCTTTCATCCATGTTCTTTTGGGGCAGCCAGTGAAGAACCTTCATCCCCCAGAGATGAGAGGGAGATAGCTGCTTTCTCTTCCCTCTGTGGAGCTGATTCTTTTGAAAGTACTGTTTTCTAATAGATCTCAGCTACAGAAGGGCATACAGAGCTGGACGCACCACGCCCATCACCCAGGGTTTATTGCCAACGACAAAATCAAATGCCCGTGAATGGGATTAGTAGTGGCTGCAGGGCCGGGGCATCCTGTTTAGAAAGGTTTGTGCCTTGACTTTCCTAAATGAAAGGAAAAAAAATTTCTCACAGAGCAGATCATTGGTAAGTTAAAAATTAAGGATACATAGATCCATTTATAAATACTAACAAGCCATGGACTGGGTTTTCAGTGTTGTAGCATCCATAGATAACGGGCTGACTTCTATAAAGGAGCATGTTGGAAATGTAAGATTGGTTGTTTGTATTTCCCTGTGTTCCTACATTTCACCATAAACTAAATTACCATCGAGTTATAGAAACTAGAAGTTGGGCAAAGAAGCATGTACCTAGAATCCCAGGGCTCAGTTGTTGAGAAGGAGGCAGAGACTGAAGGTTCTCTGGAAGTTTAGAAGCTAGGTAGCTTAGTATGTGTAGTAGTAGGCATTGAACAGGACCTTCTGTCAAGCAAGCTAGATGACAAAGACCCACAGGCTTTCAGAACTACATGCATGTGATGGCTCGCTTTCACTCATACTCACAAAAGCGTGTATACCGTACCCATGAAAACAATCAGAAAAATACATTAAAAAATAAATGGCTTGTGTTCTTCATTTAAAAGCAACATTATGGTCACTTATTAGGGCCTACATTACACTCATGTTTTGTAAAGCGAATGTCTCTGGAGCACAGTACTATCAGGTAGAAGGAACTAACCTCAGTAGGAACATTGACTTACGCTTTGTCTTGGTCATAGTCCTGTTGCTGTGGAGAGACATCATGACCAAGGCAACCCTTCATAAGAGAAAGTATTTAATTAGAGACTTGCTAACAGTTTCAGAGGCTTAGGCCATTGTCATCACAGCAGGGAGCATGGCATCTGCCTAGCCAGGCATGGTTCTGGAGAAGGAGCTGAGAATTTCGAAACCTCAGAGTTTACCCCTAGTGACACATTTCTTCCAACAGGGCCACACCACCTAATCCTTTCAAATAGTGCCACTTCTTGGTGACTAAGTTTCAAATATCTAAAACTATGGAGGGCATTCTTTCTCAAACCACCACTTGCTTGCATTGTTTGTATTTGCTAAGTGTAGAATGAACTAAACATCATGAAGTTAACTTCTGCAACAAAGGACAATGTAAACATAACTAGAAACCTCAGAAAGGAAATGCATAGGACAGACATTGGTTGCTATGGGAAGAATCTGAACCTGACTCGGAGGTTCTGTAGCCTTGCAGGACAGTTCCTCATTCTTCATTAGTGGTGCTGGGGGTAGATCCAGGATCTCACACTTGCTGGGCATCTGCTCTCACTGACCTGCATCTCAGCCTTCCGTGCCTTGAATGATAGTTATTTTGTTGTCAAGTCATTGTGTACTATTTTTATTTTAGGTTGTGCAGGGTACTAAGTTCTCAGGATGATGTACAATGCACGTGTCTATATATATAGCTCCTTCAGAGACATGAGTTGATTCCAATTCCCAAGGGCAGTTAGTCAGTTGAGAGATGTATGTTGAGCATCTACTGGAAATCATCAAACGTGTTGGATGCTGGAATCACAGCAGTGTGTATTCACAAGTAGATTATCACCTTGACCTCCTTAAATCAAGATCTGGAGGCTAAGAGGACAACACGGTGGGAAGATGCTGCTTCACAAGTGTGAGGACCTGAGTCTTGTTCTCAGCACTGGGGAAGGAAACAGAGAGATAAAAGAATCTGTGGGTTCTGGAACTCGCTGGTCATCTATCTGTCTGAATCTCTGAGCTCCAGGGTCTGTAAGAGATTCTGACTCAAATAAATAAAGCAAAGAGCCATAGAGGACGTCAGCTGCTCACACACACACAAACACGCATGCACGACCACATTTACACATGCATGCACACACTGTGGAATGTCGTGGAAGATCTCTGAAATCAGGAATGACAAAGCGGGCCATTCTTTCTGTCGGACTCTGATTCCCCAAGCGGAAGGCAATCCTGCACCAGCTTGAGCATGTTTTGATAAAGGCACTGATTTATTCCATTTTGCCCTATGAAAGATGTGAGTCTAGAATCCCCGCTGAAATATCTCTGTCACGTTTGCTTCTGCATTTGAATTTATATGAATGAAGAGGATTTCAGTGCGGGAGCGCCTGCCGTCGACACAGCTGACTCTGCTTCCCTGTGCTGTCATTTCCTACGTGCTTGGTTCTTACTGTTCCTCAGTACACAGTAAGCTTATAACGCACTTTTATATATATGTAGTATATATCTTGTCATAAGTGCCGAGCTGTCTACATAGGGTGATGGGGAAGCTATCTGTACTGAGAGGATTTAACTAACGAATTACACAGCTGGAGGAGCTGTGTAATTGTGTCCCCAGTGGACCTCACGTGTGTTTTTGCTGGTGTGGCATTTCTATCCCTTCGTACAAACTTTCTGAGTTCCCCGGAGGGATTGTGTAAATTATACAGTAAATATGAACATCCTCGTAGGCCCTCTTGCTGGCGTGAATGAGCCTCAGTCCACAGTAATGTGCTTGAGCTCTCCCCTGTAGGTATGAAAATCTTGTCTGAGATCACAGCATGATGTCTCACCTACTCTTCTTGAAGCTCAAGGCTTGTATCCTTAATGTCTTCTTAGAGAGGATGAGAATCTGCAAAAGGGAGCTTCTCTATTAGGCCTCATGGCTCCTTCATGTATTGTGAGGGTTCCATGTGTGGTGTGTGTGTGTGTGTGTGTGTGTGTGTGTGTGTGTGTGTGTGTTCGCGTGCGCGTGCGTACACATGCGTGTGTGTGCATATAGAACACTCACCTCTTTTACTGATTTATGTTAATACACACACACACACACACACACACACACTGCAGATATGGCTAGACCAGCTGGCCTGTGAGTCCCTGGGGTCTGCCTGTCTCTCCTGGCCCCACTCCCCAGCACTCGTTTTTACAGACAAGAAAGCTTGGTCCTCTGAACTTAGGTCCTCAGGTCTGTGCAGGAAACTCTATCCACTGAGCTCTTTCCTCACCACCCCTACCTCAAGTGCTTCCCCAGCACCCACAAGGCCCTGGGAAGCCCCTTCCTATTTCTGGATCCTCTCTGTGTAGACTGCCTGACTGTTGACTGGTCTTATATTTGATGCCCTCACAAGTTACCATTTCAAGCCCATGTCTCACTAGCTGGTCCTTCCGAATCATGCAAAGCCCTCCTGTGGACACCTCTGGGGTCTGTTTTGCTTGACCTTGGTGGCCCCTGAGCATACGTCTGTTGACAGAGGTTTTTGTTCTACCCGGTCCTGCAGCCGTTCAATCCCAAAGAAACAGAGGTCTACATTAATCATAAACTGGTTTGCCTAGTAGCTCAGCTTCTTATTAATTCTTATAACTACATTAGCCCATAATTCTTGTCTGTGTTAGCTACATAGCTTGGTACCTGTTATCAGTGAGGCATTCTCATCCTGCTTCCTCTGCATCTGGGTGAGGACTGCAGACTGACCATTTTCTCTTCCCAGAATTCTCATCGCCCCCCCTCTACTTCCTTCCTGGTCACTCTGCCTATATTTCCTGCCTAGCTACTGGCCAATCAGCATTTTATTAAAAATATAAATGGCAGGATAAAAGACCCTTGTCCTACAGCACTGCCCCTTTTTCTTTCTTTCTTTCTCTCTCTGCTTCAGAGTTAATGTTGTCCCTAGATTTAATCTTCTTAGAATTCGAAAATGGTGTAGGATAGCAAAGGCCTGAAACACTATTCCTGATTCCTGTCCTGTGTCTTAAGGGATGGATTCAGAGAGGCCAGTGAAGTGGGGGGAGGGGGCGCCATGTGGCTAGCACAGTCACAGTCCCCACCGCCCCACGCTGAATCTTGCTGACAGTGTCTTTTCTGACTGGTGTGGAGAGGAGCATGGAGAACTCTTGTGGGCTTCAGAGCAAGGCAGAGACAACTGAGTTCTGGTTCTTCGACCAAACGGCCCAGTAACCTGGGGGCTTGTACTGACTCTAAGATCCTTGCGGTCACCACCTAACGACACGAAGGAAACTAAACAAAAACAAAGCCTGACAGGGAGCCCTAACCTTCTCCTCCAGTCGGTTATCACGTGACCAGCCCTGAAATCATGGACATAGGAGTACATTACATGGACTGAGCAGGTTGTTTCAATGTGTTTCAGAATAAGCACAGTTTTTAAAGCTCATGAATTTTGGGGATTGGGAGGGAGAAAAGAAGAAGAGGAAAATTACGTAATTAGTTTTTAATTTCAAAAAAATTTTAAAAGCCAAAAACCTCCCCCTCAGATCGGAAACATACCTGTTTATAATTCTCTTCAGATTTCCTGACCCCCTTGACCATTCGTGTTTTCCAAAATAGACCTATAATCTAGGTCAACTCTCATGCCATGTTGGACCAAGCGTTAAAGACCACTGCCATATAACCTAGTGCGCCATTTTCAGGAGAATCGGACCATCCGGAAACAGCTAGTCATTTAACCAGCACCTGCTTCGTGGTAAACAATGGCGATGCCGTAGAAACGGATGTGCCCATACGGTGAAATTTCAGATCATAATATCTTCCGGTTACTGGGTGTGGGGAGGTTAGGGCTGTTTCTACACTAGCTTTTCTATATTCCAGGCAGAGGTGGTGGGTGTCAGCGATTCATTGTCTTTACGGGAAAAGCTTCATTTGGCACGCTAGTAAATTCTTAGAAAAGACAAGATTTTACAAACACACACCCCAATTTGTATTATTATCCTTATTAAAAAAAACAAAATTTTTTTATAAGAAGAAAGTATTTCAAATATTTAATTTAACAGCATAATCATTAGATAATATTCAGCTGATTATTATTTAAAAGATGTCACTGCTGTTTATAAAAGCAACATCTGAATATCTTTTCATAATTGTTATGCAGGTTTTTTTGCATTATTTCCAACTTACATACTTACAAATAAAAGTGTGATAATGGTTCATAGGGGCCGTTATTACTGACCTTGCTTGTTAGTTCCTTTGCAGAGTGACCACAGAGAGAAGTAAATTCTTGGTCAATGAGTCAACAAATAGGATGTTTCACATCCTACAGCATGGGCCCTGTGCTGGAAAACCTGCTGTTCTTTGCTTGGTTGATTGACAGTCTGTTCTGCAGACCAGTGGACGGGCCATCCCAGTTCTGCCCTTGCCCAGGTGGAAGAGAATGCAGATTTCTGCTGTTTGAACAGATGGGACGGAGAAGCTCAGCTGTGCTCACATTCGTTTTTCAAATTTTATTAATTTCAAAAATTGTATCTTATTTGCATTTAATTTTTATTAATTTTAGTAAGGTGCTAATGCTAAAGGCTGGCAAGGTTTGGGCTAGTGGGCAATGATCTTCACGGGTGCCTTCATCTTCCGCATGGCCAGCGGACCACCTGACACCCTCCAATATTTGTTTTCTTGCATTAAATAAAAAAGAAAACAAACTGTTTTCAAATCCCTTCTCTTAAAACTGGATAGATCAGCCTGGTGTGATGGTGCACACCTTTGATCCCAGCTCACAGGAAGCAGAGGCAGGAGGAGCTCTTGAGTTCAGTGCCAGCCTGGTCTACACAGGAAGTTCTGGGGTAGTCAGGGCAACACAGAGAAACCCTGCTTTGAAAACACAAACAATCCCCCCTCCTAAAAAAATAAATAAAAACAAGCATACAAACAAACAAAAAACAAAGAGAAACGTGGAGAAATTGCCAGTGTGGCCCCTGTACTCAGGAGGTGCAGAGACAGTCAGATCTCAGTGCCTTTGAGGCCAGCTTGAACTCTACACAGTGATTCCCAGGTAGCTAGGACTGCATAGTGAGGACCTGTCTCAAAAAAAGGAGGAAAAAAAACCCACCAACAAAACCACAATAAAACTGGAGAAATTAAAAGGCATTCGAGGCTCTGTTAAATATTTATATAGTAGACTATTGATGGCATCGTTAGCTCTGTCTTTTCATATGTAAATTAGGCTTGGTTGAGGGGAGAATGTTTACATGTGTACTCCTTAGGAACAAGCATCTTAAGTGATTTTCTCTACAAAACCTGCCCATTCTTTTTTAATGGAATTTTATTTCACTTAATATAATCTTAAAATGTTCCCTTGGCATACTTAATTTTTGTTAAATAAAGAATGTTTATAAAGGGTGTTTTTTAATAGAAAATTGCAGAATTGTATACTTGAGCTAAATTTACTTTTGAAAGCAAATGCAAAGACCTCTATTTGTCTACTGATAATTTTATCGTCATAATATTCTGTAGCAAACGGAACTTGCTTCTAGAGATTTACATGGCAAATGTCTTTAATGTATATTGTAATTTAAAATTAACAAGACTTTTGGTTTTGTTTCCATTTTTTCTGTGTTGCTTATGGAGTCTAGGGTCCAGGGCATGGTAGGCAAGCACTCCACTACAGAGCTATCCACCAGGTCTAAAAGTTCAGTTTTCAAATAGCACATGTCTTTAAAGGTACAGGGTACTAGTTTTGTTTCTATTTTTGCTTTCCCAAGGTATCTTAGAATTGAGGTATCATAGTTCTTTCAACAATATTCTTTTATGTTTTTATATCAGATACCTTAAATGTCTACTTTTTAATGAAGCTGTCCACCGTAATCTATAGTTCCAAGGGAACACTAGTAAAGGAAACCCTGATTTTACAGTTTAAGCCTTATTAATCTCGTTCGCCACACTGCAAGTTTTTTATTCTCCTGCAGCTCGGTGGCCCACAGCTGTCATTGTGTTGACCCTTCAATGGGTTCCACCTCTCCGGTGCTTCTCAAACTGGGAGCAGTAAACCTACAGCGTGGACTTCATTAACTGTCTCACTGTCCAAACCCCGGATAGTTTCTAAGGAGAAGCTGTGATCTGTTCTGTGGAAGGCAGCCCACCACCACAGCTTCCTGATGGAATGGTGTAGGCTCTCTGCTTGGCTGAAGTCCTTGTGTCTCAGGCCGTCACTGCCTGGCTCTCTGCCAGCAGCTGCACCCCAGGGAGCTAGTTCACATGGGTCCTCATGGTTCCTGTGGTGCTGGACCCTTCACCAAGGACAGTGTTTACATCCTTCCTGCCGCAGACATCAACTTCTGGCTGTTTCTATGGTGAAGATGCCTTGTAGGACGTATCTGTGATAAGGCTGATGACATACTCTTTCAATCCATACCATAGAGATTGACTGTTTCCAAAAAGACAAATTTGTTTGGTTTTTTTTTTTTTAATCTTTTGAAACTTAATCTCCAGACTGGCCTCAAACTCATTCTGTAGCAGAGGATGATCTTGAACTTATGAACTACCTGCCTCAAGGGCTAGAGTTACAGGTGTGAGCTACTGTGTTCAGTTTCTTCAGTGCTGGCATTGAGCCCAGGGTCTCATGAGGCTAAACAAACACTGTAGGAACTGAGCCCCATTTGTTGTAATGAGGAACACCACTTCCTGCCGCCCGGCTCCTAGCTAGCTTACACCCAAAATAATTACATGGAAACTGCATTCATTTAAACACTGCCTGGCCTATTAGTTCTAACCTCTTATTGGCTAACTCTTACATATTCTTTTAAACCATTTCTAATAATCTGTATCACCACTTGACTGTGGCTTACTGGCATGAGTCTAACCAGTGTCTGTCTTGGAGAGGAGAGCCATGGCATCTGCCTAACTCTGTTTTCTTTCTCCCAGCATTCTGTTTGGTCTACTCCGCCTATCTAAACTGCTGTCCTATCAAAAAGCCAAGGCAGTTTCTTTATTTAACCCATGAAAGTAACACATAGACAGAAGACCCTCCTATATCACCCATTCCCAGCTCTTGACTTGCTTCTTTTTACTTAGTAGATTGTGTGAATTTGCTTAATGTTCATGTCATTATGTGTTTCATCAAAATACTTGGTCCTCAGCTGGGAGGGGGGGTGATTCAGTGGATGATGTATTTAAGTATTAATGCTTTAATTTGCACCCCTAGAACCTACCTCAAGGTAGGCAGGCATGATCTCTGCCCATTACAACCTTTGAGGTACAGGTAGGGGGTCCCCAGAACAAGTTCCAGGTTGAATGAAGAGGATCATGAAGATACCCAAGGTCAACCACAAGCCTCCACATGCATGAGTACTAGAACACATGAGCCTGCACACATTTGAAACCCATACATGTGATGCACACACTATGCACACACATGCAAAAAATGTCTGGGTCTTAATTTCATACTACTCTGTTCATGCTTGAAGTGTTTCTCAGCTATTGCCTCAGACTTAGCGATTGCCGTGCAGTTATGCGAGTCTTGGTTTCTGCAGAACATAGATGCAATGTGTCCCTTAAGATGCCTAAGTTGATCCATGGAGGAGGCAAACGTGCTTCTGTCTCATAGGTACACAACTAGCCAAGCCTAGCATCTCCTCTGACAAGGCCTGCCTTCCACAGAGCGACAGGTAGGAGGAGTTTTAACTCAAACAATAACTTACCTTGACCTCAGTACAGGCTTAAGGTCAAATTGAAAAAAAAATAAACAATAAGGTGAACTTTAAAAAAAGTTTATTTTAATATACATATTTTTTCTCCCGTGGTTGAAGTCTGACAGGGCTTCATAGGAGGTGTTGGATAAAGTACCACGGAAAGCTGGTCATTAGGCCAAGCTGACAGAACAAATTATTTTGGTATAGGTTGAAAAGTTCTAGTTCATTTGAGGCCTGGTAGGATGCCAGCCTTAGAAAGTTGTTATAACGGCCCCATGCTGCTAACCAGCCTCCAAGATTCACGTTCCCCTGTCCCTTTCTCCGTAGCTTCGGTCTCCTGGGAGTCCTGCTGCCCCTGAGCTGCCCATCGAGACAGAACTGGATGACCGGGAGCGCAGGATCTCACACTCCCTCTACAGTGGGATTGAGGGGCTGGAAGAATCGCCCACCAGGAATGCAGCACTCAGCAGGATAATGGGTGAGTCAGGTAACGCTCTCTCCTCTTTCATCTCATCTTCCGTGTGCGCTTATCCTAGTTCATGGAGAGGGGATTGATGCAATATTCATGGAAAGGGGGCCCGCGTTTCCGAGAGAGAAGGGAACGGGTTCATTATGGTCACGCAGGAAACGTGAATGTGAGGAGTGTCTGCATGCGCTGAATGGCTAAATAAGTTCCAGCCCCCAGCTTGCTGACGAGGACAGAAAGGAAAAGGATAGGAAAGAAGTGTTTCCAATAATCAGATTACCCCTGGCTTGTTGAGGGTAGCAGGAACAGCTGTGTTCTAACAAATGGCAAGGCCCAACGAGGCAGCCCAGTAGGTAAAATCCTTGCTGTGTGACCATTAAGAATATATTTTCAATCCCCAGAACCCAAATGAAAAAGCCAGATGTGGTGGCCCATGTTTGTAGTCCCGGGGCTGAGACATGAGACCAGAGGAGGACTGGAGTTCATTGGCCAGCTTAGCCTAATGTGCAGTCTCCCAGTCCCAAGGAGAGACTCTGTCTAAAAACAGTGGACAGCTCCTGAGAAACAGTGCCTAAGAATGACACACACACCAATGCATGCACACACACATGTGTACACTCATGTGCGCGCACACACATACATACACACACCAACTTTAGAGATCTAAAAGTTGTTACTCGGTTGCACTGCTGAGCCACAGATAAAAAAAATACATGTTTACATGAAATATTCATTATTTGTTGGCATTCAATAAAATTTTTGTCATGTTTCTGCTTTATTAGAGGATTAGTCTTGCCAGATATGTTAGCTCATACCTTTAATCTCAGCACAGGGGTGGAAGGCAGAGGCAGATCCCCAAACTTGAGGTCACTTTGTCCTACATAGAGAGTTTTAACCAACCAGGGCAACATAGTGAGACATGTCTTTAAAAACAACAAGAACAAGAATCCTGCTTTATTCTTTAAATCCTTAGCTCGTCTTCTGTGCCTTTTGTTTGATCCACCCGATACTGCCTTCTGGGCCGCAGTGGGTGCGGTCCTTATAAGGTCCCTTCCTGCTGCACCTCTCTGTTGGGTCCTCACACACCCCGGAGGGGCTGGGTTTACGGAACTGCTCATTTGGCGTTAAATTGAGACAACTTTCAAATTTAAAATATAAGAAGTTTTCTTGACACTTAATGATTTATATTGCAACTCTCTAAAGCAAAACTCTAAATTTGTTGCATTTTTGAGTATATTCAGTACTGATCTAATACAAATATGTGTTTTCGTTGGGATGCATCATAGAAACAGTGTGGTTAATTGGTTGGGGTGGGCAAGGTATGGTGTTAACAGTAGACGTGGTGGGTTAAGGAACAGCCTCTCTAGTCAAGGAGTTCTCTACAGAATACTGTAGAGAAACAGTATATGCAGATCAGCATGAGGAAGAGTCTCTCTCGTCAAAGAATTTTCTACAGAGCACTGTAGAGAAACAATATATACAGATCCGCACCATTAGTACAATTTCCTGTCATTTTCTTTCCTCCCTGTTGAGCTTCAGAGAAATCACTAAATTCCCAGTTTCTCACCTTGGTCAAAGAGATCTGGGATGTGTTCTACCAATATTTTTCTAATCATACATACCTGGCATGAGAGAACCAGGGAGGCAATCCTCGCTCATGGTTTGAGCCCTGCTTAGGTGTAAAAGGCATTGATTCCAGTTCCTTCCAGTTTGGTAGTCCGTCACTGCTGCTGGGTTAGCCATGCTGTCTCGGCTTTGCTGGATTCTTGGCTGTGGACAGGATTTCAGACCCCCTGAGAAAGAATGTGCATGTGTCCCTGGATCTGTGTGCATACAAAGTGATACGCTGTAATCTCCCCTTTATTATAGGAACATAGGATTTGCCATACTGGTCAGCCCATTGACACAGCAGCTCCTGTAACCTGCATCCTGCCTCCACTCCCTGGTTCTTCAGAGGAAGGCGGAACCTAGCACTCAAACACATACCAGCCCCCACCCCGATTTTTCACCTAGTGACTTGTTGAAATGGGTGACATGGGTTGAGGAGTACGTCATCTTGTCCATGTTCTGTCACCCGGTTTTGTTAGCTCTGGCGGGTTAGTCCTTTTCAGCGGGTAACCGGGTCAGCAGTGTTTTTCCTCTCTCTGCTGGGTATGTAATGATCCCTCACACTTGTGATGACTCCCCTTGCAGGCTCGTCCCTCCTGCTATGCTTGGTGCTGTTCTGTTCAGTCCTATGGGCTTGGGGATGATACCATACTTAGTAGGCCAAGGTTTTATAGTAGAATACCTTTTGGGGGGGAGGGACAATAGGGTTGATCCAGGACTTCTCAATGACTTTGTTTGTCCCTGTCTTTAAGAGATGTTTTCTATGCTGTACTGGAAACTAGGGGTCCCATGAGGCTTTTCCTAGAGAAGTATATAAGCTCAACTCAATTCATCTTGCTGTTTACAAACACTTTTTTATTCTTCTTATTATCCTTATTCTAGTATTATTGACCTTAAGGATTGCATGCTGCTGGGGAAGTTAGATAACACTGAGATTAGAAATCTTGCAAAGGATGCTACTTTGCCACGGGAGGTGAAACAATACCCAATATCACTGAGCTGTGCTCCCCTCAGCCTGCTGATTTGTGCTGTCAGGTGCTAAGACATTTCTCAGCCAGGCCCTGCCTGACCACTTCATGACTGTCTGCTGGGTCTTCCGTCTCACTTCCGTCTAGACCCGGGTTTCCCATGATAGAAAGGGAGGTGCTGAAATTCCTAATGATAACACAAAGAAGTGGTTAATTTTATGTGAGCAGGGCAGGTTTTCACAGAGAATACTTCATACATGCAATCAAAGGAAGTTTTAAGGTCAGCGATCGTTTTTGAATGGGTATACATCCCAGGAAAGAGACTTCTAAACTGTACACCCCAAAAGCAACATCATTTGTAATTGGAAAGATGTCAGATGTCCTCAGTCACACTGTCTAGCTCACTTAGCTGATAAAAGAAATGTGTCCCAAAACACCCTGTTGAATTTTGACTTATTTTTGATTTCGGCTATTTCCTCTTCGTAAACGTAGCCTTCTTGGGGAATGCCAAGATCTCATGGTAAGTTTTAGTGACACCAGATTGACTGAAAAGCATCGAAGTGTCTCCACAGCCAATCCCCCTGGCTCCCTCTTTAGTGACAGCTGATTTATCTCCAGCTCTTTGGATAGATCACTCGGAAATATGACCAAAGTCCAGAATTTGCCACCGTCATATTTTGGCTGGATTCCCACTGCCATTGCTGTTAGTAGAACATGGCTCCTAATTTGTATTAGAAGGCAACTTCTAAGGACTGCGGATATAGCTAGTATCACTTGCCTAGCCTGTACAATGCTCTGCTCCCAGCACCACAAAAATAGGTAAGTAAGTGAATGAGCATAGGTAGATAGGTGGATGAACAATCGCAGATCAGGCCAGGTGTACCCCTTCGTGAACCTACTTAGGAGTTCTCCTTTGATAAGCCTTGGAAGACCTTTCCAGCTATTCAGCAGTGGAATGATAGGTACAGTTTACAAACATGTTTACTTCATAAAATGCATCACAAAGTCATGTTTGGGATCATAGGGCATCATTTTTTAAAAAGGTTTTATCTGCATAGTTTTGTTTAAAGCAGTTTATATTTTGAGCTAAAATTTTATCTCATTTTATTGTTTATCTCGGCGGTTTCTATATTCCTACTTCTGTGGTGAGTTTAATTATGTTTAGACCATTTTCATTTTGTTAACAATTTGACATATAAAGCTGAGACACTGATGTTGGTTTCGTAATGAGTCTTCTTGCTGACAGTTTTCATTTCGTTTATTCCTGATATCATGCATGTTCCGTCCCATGTAAATCCATCAATGAATAAATGTCTAGTAAACAATAATCTTGTATGTTATTGCCTCACTTTATAAGATCCTGAGTGTTCATTTCGCAGTCTGTAAATAGTTGATGAAATATTGGGGTGGGAGGAATTTAGCAGCTGAGAAACCAAAGCCACGCAGGATCATGATTCAGAGTCTTGCTGTGATGTGTTGAAGGCCAACAGAGGTTATTTAGGAGGTCTCAAGGGAACATGTAGCCTTGAACTGTATATGTCTGGTACCTCTGCTTGTTTCTGGAACTGGATCCTGGATCTCCTCACATGCAAGCTAAGAAGAGGAGAATATGTGTGATCATATCTTGACATCTTACAAAATTTTAGACTGGAGAGTAATGTAAGAGACTTCTTGCCTTTTGTGGAGTGTGTGTGTGTATGTGTGTGTGTGTGTGTGTGTGATAGAGAGGGGGGAGATTCTTTTAGTATCTCACGTACATTTCAACACAAAACAATGTCGCACACACATTAAAAAGGGGATTGTCCACCTCAGTCTGTGTTCTATGGTTCTCATGCTTTCGCTGAGAACATGCATGCCAATGCAAGGGGTTGCATGTTTTATTTTAAAACCTATGCAATGTGATTACTCTGTGATATTTTCTTGGTTAAACTCTTCCTGCATGAGGACTTGGTGTTTAATAACTTGGCCTTTCCAGTCGGGGAAGGAACCCTTGCTTTATGAATTCAATATGGTCATTTTGGAGACAAACTGTCTTAAAGGAATACATTTCTTTGGCCGACGGGGGTGGAATTTATACCTGATCTACAAGTGACATTTTGCTGAGCAGGCTTCTGCTCTAATATCCTACAACTTGAGTGGAAAGAAACTGGTGGTTTGAAATCGAGAGAGAGAGAGAAATGATTCCATTTGATTTACTTTTGTGTCGTGAACATTCATAAGAAGCCGCCAGCTCCAGTTTGTCAATGTGGCACATTTCAATCAAAGAAGGAAGTTTTCCTAGCTGGTGTGTGGAGCAGGGGTTTTAGTGAACGTGCATGTTGCTGTTAACAGACCCCTGCATGCTAAATAACGATGCCTTTGTAATGTCTGGCAAATTTCTTTGTAAGGACTGAAGACAGACAACAACTTAAAAGAGTTTTCTTTCCTTTTTAGTTTATTTTTCACTGAAACAGGCAGAAAAAGATGTATTGTGCTTGAGACTCACCTTTCCAGTTTATCTGTGCTCTCCTGATATGCTAATGCATCCTCAGTTTTACAGCTAGCTCTAAGACTAATACTAAAATGCTAACACCTGTTGGTTCAACTATTTTGAAAACTATTTTGATGGGAAAGAGCATGTTGCATAAAATAGTAGTGAGTGCAGAATATTTGATGTCCCAGCACAATTGACTGAGCAGACTTGGACATTGGACTCACAGGGAGTGTTGAGGAAGGAAGGCAGACTCTCATGGTTCCTTGCTTGGGAACATACTTTTGTGTGCCGTGTCCTTTGGTGGTTGTCCTGTGAGTCTAGCTTCTTACAAGGTGTGCATCTGAACCAAAATGTTGTGAGTATATCCATGCTCAGAAAACAAACGGCACAGATTTTGGAAAGAAGTTGCTGGAATTGTAGGTGGTTTAGGATAAGGATGCTGTTTGTACTCCACTGTTACCTTGAGGGACTTGGGGGCTCGAAACGTAGCTTTGTCCCAGGAAAGGCTGTGATGTGTGGACGCCACGCTGAACCTCAACACACTTGCTTGCAAGGGACTAGACAGACAACAGATATCCGTGGAGCCTTTCCGGACTGAGTAACCACACTTGACGTCCCCTCCTCCCAGGGTAGACCTCAGAGCCTCACGGCCTACCACATCTGGATCTAGGTTAAGCTGTTCACATCTCGGCCACTCTCATTATAAAGCCATTCTCCCTGGCTTGTGTGCCAGGCTTTGTCAAGTGGCACCTGAATTCATCATGGTTTAATTTTGCTACCACTTTCTGGAATAAATACCATCATTCCATCTAGTAGAAAAGTCACAGCCGCCACGCCAAACCTCGCTCAGCTAACTTTGGGTGACCGTCTCAACAGTCCTACCCAGCTCTGTCCATCATCGCCCAGGTGGACACAATTGGCACACTGGCCACACTGAAGCTACCCTATTCCGTAGGTACTTTCCCTCTCCCATTAGGATGTGACGCACTAATTACAGAGATGACGTCACCTAGTGTTTGCCTGCCCTGTGGGAGTTGAATGAGTAGATAGACAGATCACTATAAGTTTGTGGGGTTCCCTTCAGATTTGCTGGCAAAACTTCACAGAGGACGCCTCACACCTAGGAAGCTGTGTGTCAATCATGTTCACATTAAGACATTTTGGGGGTCATCTCTGTCTTTGGGATACTTAAAACCAGAGAAGTCACATGCCCTACCGCATGCTGTGTGACCCTCTTGCCTGTTGCAGAAGTGGTTATAGGAACCTGAGGTTTGTGTCTGACAATGGTTTATGAGAAACAAATAAACTAACTTCTCATTATTCCATCAGGTGAAGAGACTGTCTCAAGACTTGGGTTTGTTGTTGTTGTTTAGGTTTGTTTTACTGTTTTTAATGTAGCAAAATTTTGCAATTACCAGGCTTGGCCCCTGCACTGACGCCTAGAATTTCTCCTTTTCTCTGGTCAGGTAAATGTCAGCTGTCCCCCACGGTGAACATGCCCCACGACGACACTGTCATGATCGAAGATGACAGGCTGCCTGTGCTTCCTCCTCACCTCTCCGACCAGTCCTCTTCCAGCTCCCATGATGATGTGGGGTTCATCATGACAGAGGCCGGCACCTGGGCCAAGGCTGCCATCAGTGACTCAGCCGACTGGTGAGTGCGGCACAGGGTTGGGCCTGATTATCGGATAAATAGGATTTAAGCAAATTCCCGAGTTGATTCCGGCTGTTAGATACAAAAATTAACATGCAATGTGCTTGGGAACTCGAGAAGACATCTTGGAGGTATTTTTTTCCTTGTGTGTTGGTTATCTGCACGCATGTCATACATGTTGGGGTTTGCTCCCTGTGAGTGTGCATGGAGAAGCCAGAGGTTGGTGTCTTTGTCAGGGTTTCTGTTGCTGTGATGGAAACGCCGTGACCAAAGCAACTTGGAGAGGAAAGAGTTTATTTCCTGTATACTTTCACATCGCTCTTCATCATCAAAAGCAGTCAGGACAGGAACTCAGACAGGACAGAAACCCAGCAGCAGGAGCTGATGCAGAGGCCACAACGGAGTATTGCTCACGGACTTGCTCAACCTGCTTTTTTCATAGAGCCCAGGGCCACCAGCGCAGGGCTGGCCCCATCCACAATGGGCTGGGTTCTCCCATGGAAATCACTAATGATGAAAGTGCCCTGCAGATGTACCTACTATAGCCAAATCTTAGTTTCCCTCCTCTCCAATGTCTCTGGCTTGGGTCAGATTGACACCAACCTAGTCAACACAGCCGGCATTGGGTGTCTTCCTCAGTGCTGTCCACCTAATTCTATTGACAGTCAGGGATGTAGAGCATGCCAGTCGGCTTGGCTGCCTGTTCAGTGCCTCGGCTGCAGGCTGGGACTCTGAAACTCGGTCTCATGCCTGTGCAGCAAGCACTCCCTCCACAGAGCCATCTCCACAGCCCCAGCTTTTCTCTCTCAGGGCACAGAGACTGTGAATGTGCTCCAAATAGTTTCTCCCCTCTGTGACAGTAAGAGAAAGCATTTGATACTGTTGGCCTTGTCTGGTCCTCATCCACCCCCGCCCCATTCTTTTAGTCTGCATGCTTGGTAGAGAAGCAAGCTCTCGAGCAAAGCTTGTTTCACTGCGCACCCATCTACCCACCCTCCACCTGTGTCACATGGCGCATTAGATTGGAGTTGCTAAGGACTGGCGTTTTTGCATTAGCACTTTTATGGTGATCTTAACCAAGTAAACCACCCCAGGTCTCCTCTTCCCCCCGTCCCTCCTATTCTCTCCCCTCCTCTCCTCCTCCCTCCTCCCCCCTCCTCGCCCCCATTCCTCCCCACTCCTCTCCTCCTCATGTGAGCTCAGGAAAACACAGTTAATTTATTTGCCAGCCCTGCTGATGTTCTCTTGAAAGAACTTGACCTGTTCCTGGGCCTTTGCAAAGTTCATCACTAGCTTTTGTTTCTTTCTTTTAAATTCTCTACTGGAAAATGCAGGACATAATACCAGAGCTGAGGCGGAGAGCACAGGGTAATAGCCGCTCCGTGAGTAGCTGAGGGAGGCGGCTGCCGTGCTCTTGCTGTGGCCGCAGCTCGTGACTGGAAGCAAGAGCAGGGAAGGAGCTCACGTCTCACTCCCTTCTTCAAGGAGGCAAAAGGCCTTGTGTCCCCCCCCCCCCCGTGGTGAGACACCGTGAAGGGGATTGCAAGAACAGAGCTGCAATGGGAAAAAGACATAGTTGGCGTAAGGAATAGCTTGGGGCATTATTTTCTCTGAGATGGCTTTGAAAAGGAAACAACAAAGGTGCGGACATCTGTGATTTTTTTTTTCCTTGAGAAATGTCGGGCAAAGGAAAGAATATCAGGGAAGGGCTATCTAGGCATGCATGCATGCTCTTCAGCCTCAGAGCCGAGAGTGTGAGCTTGGCCAGTCTGGCAACCTCTCCCCCAGCTCAGAAGAAAATGTTAGGAAAGCCGAAGATCAGTCAGGCAAGATTAATAACTGGGATTTCAGCGATGGGGGGGAAGGGTAGATATGGCTTCTTCAGGGTGTCATCTGCCAGCCTGGTGTTCTGTCTTGATAATATTCTAGTGTACTGTTTATTGTGTCTGAAATAAATTTAATGAGTAGATTAATCAGGAAAAATTAATTATGTCACATTTTAAGAATATTTAGTTATTTTAAGTCTCTTATGAATTTGCAAGCTCATTTGACATTTTAAATGTGTACATTTATAGTTGGCTGCACAGTTCTGGAAGGCTAAATGTGTCAAATGGCTATACTTCTAATTTGTTACTAATAGAATATAGTTTTCTCAACCCAGTAATCAATGGAGCGGCCATTAACCATGTTATTTTAGCGAAGGAAAAAATATAACTGCAATTCTAATTTTGATAATTGCAATATTTTGGAGGATACAAAGTGAGTGTGAAAGTTTGCTAAGTAGAGGTTTTAAGTGATGCTGGCAGAAAGAATTTAAATCACTTTAAAAACCCTCTGCTAGGATTTTCTGTCAAAGCTGTATTTCTGTAGGGTGTGGGCAATGTACATCTGTAATCGCAGTGCACGGGAGGTTGAGGAAGGAAGGCAAACTTTTAGAACCAACATGGGTTAAAAACAGGATTCGCTCATAAATAAGCCAAGTAATGCAGCTGATGAAATGGCCCTTTTCCTCTCTTTAAAAAGCAATAGGCAAACAAACAGCCTAAAAAGGAAAAGAAAAACACAAGAAACACATGCAGACACACCATAAAAACACTGAATTGAGTGCAAAACACTCAATCAAGATAAGATCAGAATTCCCAAACAAAACAGTATGAGACTAAAAATGTCTACAAAAATGCCCTTGAGTTTGTTTTGTCATATACTGCTGGGCAAGGGGCCCGTCCTCAAATGTGGTTAATATGCCCAATGAGACTCTATTGGAAACTAGGTTTTCCTTTGCAAGTGTGGTCAATTACAGAGAGCTTCTTGGTTCATCCTGGGAGCTCATGACCGCTTCCCCCTCCCAGTTCTGGGACCCTCTGTGGCTCGATCCTTCCCATCCTGCCACTGTCTCGGTGAGCTCACGTGTCCGTCAGCCCTGTTGGGTGTGGAAGACACTGTTGAGTGAGAGTCCTCGTCCCCTCCGGTTGTTACAGTATTTCTGGCTCTTTTTCTGCATAGCTCCGTGAGGGGACTGGTTTGACAAAGACGTCTCATTCCAGATGAAATGTTCCAGAATTTCTCCGTGTCTGCACCTTGTCCAGTTGTGGGTCTCTCTGTTAATTTCCGTCAGAATATATCTTATTCGAAATTGCTAAATTGCGATTTATATGGTTACATGTTGCAGTACAAGGCAAGTCTTGTCAAATATTCAGGGTTTCCAGTGTCTGACAAATAGCAGACTCATTTTAAACAATAAGAGAAATAATGATATATTGTCAAGCGCAATGAAGAGCCAAGCAGAAGGAAATAGAGAAGAAAATCTACATCCACAGAGTTGCTTTAAGGTCAAATCAATATTTACTTTTCCTCTTATTTCCATTTAGTCCTCTTGTAAAAGTGGTGTATATTGTGTTATTTCAATCTTTAAATAAAATGCATCTGTCCGTGTACTAAAGGATGTGCGATCTCTCCTAAAGCGAATGTCTCCACTCTTTAGTAAGTACTTTTGTGTTTTTCTTTCTCTTCACCCAGCTCTTTGAGTCCAGATGTTGATCCGGTTCTTGCCTTTCAACGAGAAGGATTTGGACGCCAGAGTATGTCAGAAAAACGCACAAAGCAATTTTCAGATGCCAGTCAATTGGATTTCGTTAAAACACGAAAATCAAAAAGCATGGATTTAGGTAGTGAGTACAATCTCCATGAATCTTTATCTAAATAAGGCGTGGATGCTGCGGGGTGAAACTGAAGGTCCCAAACACATGTCTGCTTATTTTGAGCAATAGAAAAAATAAATAAATAAATTTAATATGTGGCAATTTTTCAAAAAAAAAAATGAGTTTACGTTACGTTTGAGATGCCCATACTCCTCACAGTAGCGTGTTGACATGATAAACAGTATGTTGACGTGTGTTTGTAGATGAGAAGGAAAGCGAACCCATGCAAACCCATGCTGTATCCTTGTTGCTTCATTTCAAAATGAGATGTTTTACTACTCTGTCCGTTGGAGAAGCAGTTTCCTTGGAGATTCCATTTGGAGAGATTTTTAAGTAGAGAACGTTTTGGAGAGAACCCATTATCTCAATCCATGTCTAGGGCTTCGTTGCCAATGCCCTTCTTGATTGCTCTTCTTGAAGTGCTAATTGATAGACCTTCTTGTGCTTTAACAATTATGGCCTTGAATCAGATTAATAATTTGGGAATATATTCTAGAACAAATTTGGGAGCAAACAAGAGGAAGAAAATAGCCATAGTTGTTCAGCCAGGCACCAATCAGGTAGTCTCTCTCTTTAAATCAAGATCTACCCCCCAAAATAATTCAATTAATACAGGTATAAACTAAATGATTTTTAAAATCTTTGTTAGTCAATCATAACTTATGCTGTTTTCTGGTGGCTGTTTGAACTTCGAGACTAAAAGCATTAATTTGTCAGAGATATATAAATGTGTAAATTTAGACAGCGCACTGCCGTGGCTAATGATGATACACTAACATACAAATAACACAAGACCGTGAGATGAATGACTGGCACACTGCATGAAGAGACTGCTTATTTTTCTCCTTTTAATTTTTGATCATGAACGTTTGCTTGTTGTTTCATTTATTTATTTTTGCATGGAATATTGCCTAAGAGTTGTGCTCTAACGGTCAAGATGGGGGGGAGGGTTACAGCATGTCGGGCTTCGGGGACTAACTGGGCTAACCATTATACATTTACCTTTTAACAGTAGCTGACGAGACTAAACTCAATACAGTGGATGACCAGAGAGCAGGTAAGAATGGACAGTTAGACTGTTGCCATAGAAACCCTGGTTCAAGGAGCTTATCGTGATTATAGAGCTGCCAGTCAGGCTCCGCGGAAGCACCGGTGTTCCAGTCTCACTCAGACGCTTTCGTTATGGGAAATCAAATGGCAGGAGAAAATACATTTTTTTTCTGTTATGAGAAATTTATCAGCAATATGTGTAACAGATGGAATGGAATGAACTACCTTTACCATTGTTAAAAACAACCTTAGATTCTTTTTTTTTTAAAATTTTACTCGCATAGGAATGTTTTTGTGGTGATAATTTTTTTCTTAATGGTAAATCAAAATCTGAAGGAAACATCTCTTTTTGGACTCATAAGATCTTAAGTCATTGTGTGATATCTTACTTCCTGTCAGTGCTCCATGCGGTGATTTTTTTTATTTGAAAAACAACATCACCTATATTAGCGGTTCTCAGTCTGCGAGACGCTACCCGTTTAGGGGCTGAACGACCCTCTCACTTGTCAGATATCCTGCATGTCACACACTTGCGTTGCAGTTCATAGCAGTAGCATGATTGCAGTTATGAAGTAGCAGTGGAATAATTTTGTGGTTGGAGGACACTGCAGCATGGTAATTGTATTAAAGGGTTGCAGCATCAGGAAGGCTAAGAATCCCTGGCCTATGTGAACTCTTTTCTGTAAATGACAGAGTTTGGCCTTGCTACTGATACTCTTGATTTTCGTCTGCTGTCTCTTGTGTCTTTTTCCGATGCGGGAATTAGCTCATTGTCAGCTCTGACATTAGTTTGAACTATATGATACATATGGCTTCATTAGCTTCGGGAATCTGTTCTAAATTTTGCTGCTTAATCATTTCATAGGGACAATGGGCTACATAGACTAGGGTTAGCAGTATACTATATCTTATTTTTTCATATTACTACATGGAGACAATCAGTGGAGTCTGTCAGTGTAATTAAGCAGTGTGCTGTGTGCAGTTGAGCATGCATGATTTATTAGTGTATTTTGGAATCTTGTTTTAATTATTCTAGATCCAGGATAATGTAATTATATCACTTAGCACGTATTAGCTTTAATTTGCCTTTTTAACCTGCTGTAGTAATTAGTCTCTGCCTGTGTGTTCGACATAGATGCATAAAGATTGCTGTGGATGTTCTTGGTGTTACCATAGTCTATGAAGTAAATGATAGATTATAATATCGCATTCAATAAATTATAACTTGGTCGTGTTCGGGGCAATTAACTGTAGCCTTGGATCTTACTAAGTAGCTGTTTTTCTGGTAAAGCATAAAATTCGTTGAAATTGTGAAGCAGAATTGTAGGGCGAGTCTTGGTCATCTGCATGTGCACAGTAGCAGTTTATTGGTCTCTGCGCCAGGCAGAACTGCCCACCTCCACAGTGGGACACTGAATGCTGTCCGGTTATGTGAGAGCGAGGAGTGTTAACTGAAACAACCAAACCTACTGTGAGTAAAAGTTAACTTACAGGTTTTAACTGACAACCTCGTGACTCTCACAATGACGATTCAGATTTTTCGTCTCTTCAGACCTGTGTTTGCAGGCGACATGTTAGGTCTTACAGGAGAAGGGCATTTTCTGGTTTTGAGTATACACTCTGTCCTATGCATATAATTAAAATGGAAAGTTTGAAGAGGAACTTTATGGTCACCAGGATGCCCTTGGTTTTGGGGTTTTTAATCTCTGTTGATAAATTCCATAGACTGTGTTCTCCCTGCCCAGTGTTAGCCAGCGAATGGAGTTTTCGGTTGCCTTGCTTCTTTTTCCTCACTTCAGAGCTGCCTAGATTCTTGGACAGGTTAGCCCAGAGCTTTGGACAATGTGTTCTGACATTTTGGTATAGACACTTGTCTCATTGTAAGCCACTTGTTATGAAAACAGAATTCTTTCTCCCTTTTGCCCCTTGCAGATGATACCTTCATTGTCACCCTTTTCCCCCCAAGAGGGATATTTATTAGCAGACAGCAATCAGAAGCCACGTGGTGTACACCTTTGATCTCAGCCCTCAAGAGGCAGAGGCAGGTGGTTTTCCTTGGTCCTAGCTATTGAGTTCTGAGTTTTGGACCAGCTAAGGCTGCACAATAATACTCTGTTAAAAATAAAATTAAAAAAAGAGAACAGAACAACGGGTCTAGGGTCGGGGTGCAGCGCGGTGGCAGAGTGATCGCCCCGTGTGTGGAAAGCGTTGAACAAACAATGCTGCTCTAGGAAAAGACTTTCTATGTATGATTTTCTTGGCTTAGGGACGTAGGAGTCTTGTATTTAATTTTTTTTGCAGTTAATATACTTTCTTTCAAAGATAATAATGAGAGCATGAATTTTTTTTAGATTTCTTAGTTGTAAAAACGCCTGTACACTAAGGATCTAATGATTTAAAAACGAAAACTTTAAAATCCTGTTTCTGAATGAGAAAACGCTGCCTTCCGTACTGGTCATGTGTTGTCGTTTGCCCATGTCTTATTTCGAAGACCCCGTCTCGATTTTCATCATAGGAAATGCTGAGCTTATGACCTGTTCTTGTGGGACCTGAGATCCAACCAAGCCTTGTGCTTGCTAGCAAGCAGCTGTCCTGGAGTTCCTTCCCCAATCCAGAATTCTCAGTACATCACTTAAAACCTTTGTTAGAGTCTCTTACTCTGATATATGACATCTATGTTACAGGGGCAGTGAGCTCTTTCTTTTAAGAACCAGATAATAAGCAATCCAAGCTCAGAGGCCATGGGGTCTCTGGAGGCTGTGTGATTCCACAGTGGCGACATGACAGTCGTCATGGATCGTATGTAAATAAGTAGGCAAAGCCGTGTACCAGCCGTGTCTGGGTACCTTTGCTGATCATGCTATAGGTTAACTTTCTGTAAAACTTTTTACTGTGCAGATTTCATCCATGCACGGGCACACTGCAATTACCAGCATTCTGATAAAATGTTATCCACAGTGTTATAATTTAGAGGAGGAGGATTCTAAACTGTGCAAGTTGTTAAATATGTGTGTTGAGAGACACTGGCGCACTTGTGGAGTTTTCTTGCTGATGGAATTGCTCTGCACCTTTACTTGTCTTCTTTGCAGAGTTACTTTATATGCTGAAGGTCCCTCGGACCATTTCTTAAGTTCACTGTCAGTTTTTGTTACTTTGCGTACTTTGAAGTCTCTGCTGACTCCCCTAGAAAGAAAAGTTATTGTGTACTTGCATGTGTAGAATGTGGTATTTTAATGGCAGTCCCTGCAGGAAGTGTGAAATCACAGCTGGGTGTGTGTAAACACACACACACACACACACACAGAGGTACACATACATACCTTCAGAGATACTCATATCATTGGGGATCCTTTGCGTAATTCATGTTTCACGTGCCCCTAATACAGATAGTGAAGTTTGAAATCTCACAGGCTTTAGTTAATCAGCAGTGAAGTCCTTGCTGCTGCTGTCTCTGGAAGGTGTGAAGGTGGCTGACCCACCAAGGAGGATGTGGCTCCCACTACTTCTGACTCCTTGACATTGATTGTCCCTTTTGTTCTAGAACACTGTGCATTTCCCTTCCTGTGACATCGACTTCGTGAATCCCGTCAGAGGTGTCAGCCACTCACTGTGGGGAGTCAGAGTGATGTGGTGCCCCTTGTAAAAAAATATTCAGAGTGTGCTTTAGTTGCAAAATAAGTGATCAAATACATACAAACCTGCCCCCCAAGAAAGGAAATACATCATCATTTGCTCCTGAGACCAATATCTTATATAATATTTTCCCCCACTGGTTAAATTTGTGCCATTTTCTCTTCCTATATTGTGAGCACCTCTGCCCTTCCCGAGCACTGGTACCCCATGGTGAAAATTAGCTAAAATATGTAATATAAATGAAGCATTAGAGGATAATTCTTATTTTGACACTTCCAGTTAGTTTTCCTGTGTCTTCCCACTCGGAGCTGTGGTGAGCTCACCTCTCAGCCATTTGTCTTCCAGGAGTAGCTGCTCCCTAATTATTGATCAGCATATGGGTGGGTGACCCCCTGTGAAGATGAGCTGTTTGGTCTCTCCACCGGCTCTTCTCTTTTTTCATCTGTCTTTTTAGGAAGATGAGTGAGGACCAGCCCTGTCACCTGGCCCACCCAGGTGGGGGTGTCTGCCTTTAGAATCTGCTGACGTCCACCCCGGTGTGCCGGGTCAGACAGTGATGGATGGGGCTGTCTCCCTTGCTTAAAGAAAATAGTTCAGAATGCCTGCCAAGTCGGGTGTGCTTGGTATCTCAATCTTTTTTGCCTTGGGTCTTCCAGAAATAAAAGCAAAAATTGTAGGTCCCTGGTGTGTCTCTCAAGGAGAGAAGCCCACATGGGAGGTGTCTTCAGATCTGTACTGCACTTTGTCTAGAGCATTCTGTTCCCAGAGCCACCTTTCGGCACGGTGCCAGCTAAGTGTGCTGGTGGTCCTGGGACTGCTGTGTTCATGCTCACATGACAGAGTGGATGAAGCCTGTGACAGTGATGCCCACCTTCTGCTGATCATAACTTTGCACTACAGTAAGGTGCAGTTAGATTGCAGAGATGATTCTCCTGCAGCCTCCTCATGGCCTCTGCCTTTTAAATGCAGTTATTGATCATTCTAGTTTAGTGTATAGATGTGTTACATTGCACAATGGTTTGATAATGACTTCATCTGTTCTGGTCAAAGTTAATAAATTAGAATTTTTCCAAATGGAAATAGATATAAAAACGTAATGTTTTTGAAATTAACTACTGTTGTTTATTTTATATATTTTCCACCCACGTTCTAGAACTTACCACTTAGCCACTCACTTTATACCCCGCAGGTGTCCACTGTGCTTAGATTCTTGGATCTGAGCTTGTCGCTTCGCGCTCACTAATCCTGTATTCTGATCCTCCAAGGCTCCCCCAGTAGAGATGTAGGACCGTCCTTGGGTCTGAAGAAATCCAGCTCCCTTGAAAGCCTGCAGACGGCTGTGGCCGAGGTGACCCTGAACGGGAACATCCCCTTCCACCGCCCCCGGCCGCGGATCATCCGAGGACGGGGCTGCAACGAGAGCTTCCGAGCTGCCATCGACAAGTCCTATGATAAACCCGTGGTGGATGACGACGACGAAGGCATGGAGACCTGTGAGTGTCCCGGCTGCGTGCTCGGCGATGGCGCATGGCTTGCGTGATCCGTGTTCCACAGAACGTGCTACAGGAACCCCCTGGTGTCCCCAGGTCCTTGAGGTGCTAGGTCCTTACAGCCATTTTCTCTTTCCCGCCGCTACGTGGGCTTTTATACCATGTGATATTGGACTCAGTGAAGAAACACGGTCTTTTTAGACTGGGTTCTGCTATAGAATAGCTCGGGTTGGCCTCGAGCTGACAGCCTTTCTTAGCCCCCCCAGTGACGGAGAACACAGGCCTGTGGCCCTCTGCCTGCCAAGGAGCTGTCCTCTTAGCCACTGTGAACGTGACGTCGGAGGACAGGAAGGAGGAAACCCGAGACAGAACAACTGTTCTCATAGGCTTATTTCAGAAAATACAGGGGTTTTTTGAAAGTATATTTTCTCTCTCTCATTTCTTTTTTATAATGTAGTTTTCTTAAAAAAAAAAACCTGACTTTTAAATTGGTATATATTTATAGATATAATTCACTTTAAAAATATTGTTTGGATTTTTTAATAACTCATAGAGTAGAGCTATCCTTATACAAAAATCTTTGAAATCCATTCTGTGTATTGTCTGCCAGTAAATACACTTAATAGCTTATTATTTTAAAGACACATTTTTGGACTAAAACAGGTGTGTCTAATTTTGTATTTTCCCCAAATTACTAAATATTTTAAGCCAATCTGAAAGTCATAGTTTAGTATGAGTAGATTTTTCTATGAATCATTAAAGGGGATATATGTTTAAACATTTATTTAAATTTTTTGAATAATAAAGTACTTATTTAGAAGATGAAGAACTTAGGAATTATAAAGATAAGTATTATTCATTAGTGTATTCAATAATTACTATGTTATAGTTTATATTTTTAACTTATATTTATTTTATTAGTGTACTAAATATACACAATAATAGGTTTTCCCGTGGTATTTTTCATGCATACATACAGCATGTTCATCATATCCACCCCCCTCAATGACCTTTTTCCTTTTAGTTTTGTTTGTTTCTGGTCCTGGGAATGAACCTGGGACCTCAGACAGTCAAGACAAGTGCTCTACCACTGAGCTACGGCCCCAGCCCTATATGTCTGCCTTTTCTAGTAGTTTTATATGCCTGGTGTTTCTGATTGCCAGGCTCCTGGGGGCTCACAATAACCACGCTTGTGCAGTTAATCACACTGTATGGATAGCATGTAGACACTGTAGCTATTCAGTGTGGAATCCAGAGGAGGAAATGCGATTGCATTTTAGATTTTAACATCAAATATGACTACCCATGTGTCTTGTCTATAAACCTGTGGGCTGTACAGCCTGAAGTTAAATCCAGGACCAGAGAATGTTTCTATGGAATGTAAATTACTTTCGTTTCCACATTTGGATAGTTGACTCCCAGCACACATTCCTAACGCAGCTAGCGGTGGGGAAAGCAGCTTTGATAAACAGTGCATCTTGAGATTTCAAGCAAAATGACTTAATTTTTGCCTGTAACATATAATATGTTGGGGACATGAGTATTTCTGGCTAATATGCTAAGCAAATCTTAGGGAGAGCATTGCTACATCCCTGTCCTTTGTCTATATCTAGACCATTTTTACACTATAATCAGCCTGTGATTTCAAATAGATTCCTCCCCTTCTTGCCAGATGAAGAACATATTTCCTAGTTTAGCTGCCAGGCCCCGTCACAGGGTTGTCACTCCTGCGGTCATACGTAGCACGGCAAGGCCATGTAGGTCTTTCTGTTGTGCCCACATGGGCCCTTGGCATGTGCTAACCTTCTAGTGCTTAATAAGAACCCTTGGTTTCCTCCAAAGGAATCAGGGGTGCAGAACTACTGTTATCAGGAGAGTCTCACTTTTACATGAGAATAAGGAAAGAAGGGCTGGAGAGAAAGCTTGACAGTTAAGGGCACTGACTGCTCTTCCAGAGGACCTGGGTTCAATTCCCGGCACCCACATGGCAGCTCACAACTGTCTTTAATCCAGTTGTAAAAGCTTTGACATACGTGCAGGCAAAACAGCAAAGCACATAAAACAAAAATAAATAAATAATTTTAAAGATTAGAATAGGGATAGGAAGGGCTTCTCTGGCTTCTGGTGCAATAGGTCAATGGACTGGTTTCCTCTGCTTTCTAAGCCCTGCCTTTCCCACAGGCCGGCTTGCGTTCCTTCTGTCATGACAGCCCTGATCCTGCATCCTGGCTGCCGAGGGCCTGTACCTCAGTGGCTCTCTGTACGTACCTGTGTCTGATAAAGAATGGAGCAAAAGGTACCCCTTTGTGGGACTCTGTTCCAACCGCTTGTTGAAATGACGATGCCACATTCCCATTGAATGCTGCTTTAAAAGAGGACTATTGTCAGAGCCAAGGGTGTCTGGCTAGGCAGGCAGGCATCCCACGAGGATGTGGGGCCCTTTGCAAAACATGTGTGAGCCATGGTGTCAGCGGTGGCAGTGTCAGCAGTGGGACAGGCCCAGGCTGTGGCTGGGGTAGAGCAGATGGCAGGTGGGAAGTGTCCCCAGGAATACTGTGGTCCATTTTCTCTGCTAGAGACCTCACATGCTCCTGTTGATTGCTCTTGTCTGCTTGGTCAACCCTGCCAAGAACTATACTTTGTAGTTCCCACGATGGCGACCTCTCTACTTGCCTCTCTCTTGCTGTACCGAAGCCATGGTACATATCAGTAATCCCAAAACTTACTGGGTTGAGAGAGGAGGGTCATGGTTTCAAGGCTAGCCTGGGCTACATATGTTGGAAAAGAAAAAGGAGAGCAGCATTGCTCAGTTGGTAGAGCGCTGGTGCAGAGCCCACATGAAGCTCTGAATTCCTTCCCCAGGACCACGTAAAACCTGGTGTGGTGGCTCGTATCTGCAACCCCAGCACTCAAAGGTGGAGGCGGGAAGGTGAAAACAGTCAGGCTCATCTGTGACTGTACAGGAAGTGCCATTCCAGTGGGCAGCACTCAGCACTCAACCACAGCAGTGACAAAAGCACGGCTACATCTGAGAGTGCACTGGGAAGAAAATCACATCTAAAGTATCTTACCGAGTCTTCATTTACTATTATTTCAGAGAGAAAAATATGTAACTGTATTTGTCCCTGATCGCATTTAGGGAATAGATGTTAGAATTGTTGCTCTTCTGTCTCTTAGTCCTATGATTTTCCCCCAACACGAGCTAAATCCCAAAGGGGTAGGCTAATGATTCCAAAGCCATCGTAAAGCGTCTGAGAGTGGGTTATATGCGGTGGGGCCTAGAGCTGATCCAGAGACTAAAAGACCCTAACTGGCCAGGGCTGACTTGACTCCGTAGAAAACCAACCCTGGAGAACTTTGTGGTTACATTGTTTTGTAGGCCACAGGTTGTCAGTGAGACCAGGCCGTGAAATGAAAGTCGGGCAGAGGGCAGTCAGGGGGTCTCAGGGCACCGTGCCTTTGTTCCAGGGTCTTTGACGAAGTGCAGAAAGAAATTGAGGACCATTTCTGGAAAGCTATGTCTTCAGTCGGTGTGTATAGTCCTGGTGAGAGTACCAGGAGGCGTGTGAAGAGGTAGGAACTGGGACCAGAGAGATGGCTAGTGGGCGTAGCGGCAGACTTCCGTACAGTGCTGGGAAGGAAGGGACAGGAAAGCTCTGGGGGTCACAGGCAACCCGTTCACGAGGTCCAGAGAGACACCCCCTCAAAAATAAGGTAGAAAGCAATTGAGACCTCTGACTTCTACATACAGAGACGCGCCTGGATGCAGGAATAGACAAGATCACAGGCAGACTGCTCATAGACAAATAACACAGTAACTCAGGTAAGACGGCTCCTGATGGTGCCGGGGAAGGAGGAAGCTACGCGCATGTGCTCAGAACTACACGCACTATGACGGGTGAAGATGCATCCCTCTACTTAGCATTCAGAGTCACGGGCCTTGGTCATCATCTCGACACAGAAGCACTGGACCGCTGTGCTGTCTTAATTCCCCCTCATGAAATCTGATGTCATTCCTTCCCACTCAGGCCCGAGCCCTCTTTATCTGACGCTAGACATTGTTGTTGCAGGTCCCACTGCAAATGCTCGCAGCATTTGGTTTTGATCAGGGGTAATGGGCATGCATCACCGTGCCCATCTATCCACCGCCCTAAGCAACTTGGACTGCCCACACGATCTGTGTTGTGTAGCTTATGTCTCCTCATGATGGCGTGTGTTTCCCTCCAAACTTACTTGTGAACACTACAGTCCCCTTCCTTCCTTCTTCAGGGGCCTTTCCCCTAAACAATCTACTTTCTAGTTTTGTTTGTAATGTTCTGACCATCAGGTAGAATGTACTATTTTCAGTATAGGTTTATTTTTTTATTTTTATTTTTTTTTATTGTTGCTGTTGTTTCTGCTTTGCAGGACTGAGCCTCAAGGCAAATGCTCTACCTCAGAGCTGACCCCCACACCAAAGTTTTGTTTTAACATTAAGGATATCGATGCATTCCCTGAAATGTGTTATATTTCCTGGATGTTAGAAACTTCTCCTTTTGAGAGACAGGCATTCTGATCTTCTAGAAAGGGAGAAACATTAACACCCGCCTTCCCAGAGTGTCACCAACCTTCACTTAGGAACCCGGCCACACACTTTCATATTGGTTTTCATTTATGGTCTGAACCATGGCTGAAATCTCCTCTTTGACACAATAATAATAGTAATTTGTGGGTTATTAAAACATATATTGGTATTAAGCTCACTCGTTGCTTAAAATCAAAAGAAAAAAGTTGAGACAGAATCTCACATATCCAAAGATGACCTTGAGCTTCATTATAGTCAAGGATGGCCTGAACTCTCTGATCCTCTGTCTTCCAAATGCTGAGATTATGGTCGTGTGCCACCGTGTCCAGTTCATGTGGCACCAAGGCAAACACTGCACCAATCCACTTACAGAGCTCTATCCACTGTCTTCAAATGAGATTTCAAATGACAACTCCCCCAGTGGAGCCTTGGGTGCTGC